GCGGTGAGAGATGCTAAACGACTGTACTCTGAGAAACTCCAACAACAGTTCTCAGCAAGTGACTCTGCTTCGGTCTGGAGAGGCCTCAAACACCTCACCAACTACAAGCCAAAAACCCCCCACTCCATGAATGACCTCCGCCTGGCAGACGAGCTGAATGAGTTCTACTGCAGATTTGAAAGACAATGTCCTGATCCCATCCCCCACAGCTCCACCAACCTGCTGCAGTCCCCCTCCCCTCCCTCCCCCAGCCCATCAGGGGCTCACGCCTCTTCAACTATAATCGCCTTCCCCTCCCCCACCAATAAGGCAGCCGGTCCCGGACTCCGTTTCCCCTCACTCCCCTGAAGCATTGTGCTGACCAGCTGACCAGCTGTCAACACCTCCCTGGAGAGATGCCAACGTACCAGTCCTGCTTCAAGGGCCTCCACCATCATCCCTGTCCCCCAGAAGCACCTGGATTACAGGGACCCAATGACTACAGGCCCGTCGCCCTGACCTCTGTAGTCATGAAGTCTTTTGAACGGCTAGTCCTGACCCACCTGAAGTCCCTCACCGACCCCCTCCTGGACCCCCTGCAGTTCGCCTACAGAGCCAACAGGTCTGTGGACGATGCTGTCAACATGGCCCTCCACTACATCCTCCAGCATCTGGACTCCCCAGGAACCTACGCCAGGATCCTGTTTGTGGACTTCAGCTCTGCCTTCAACACTATCATCCCGTCTCTGCTGCAGGACAAACTCTCCCAGCTGCACGTGCCCGACTCCACCTGCAAGTGGATCACAGACTTCCTGTCTGACAGGAAGCAGCACGTGAAGCTGGGGAAACATGTCTCAGCCTCTCGGACCATCAGCACCGGTTCCCCCCAAGGCTGCATTCTCTCCCCTCTGCTCTTCTCCCTGTACACCAACAGCTGCACCTCCAGCCACCAGTCCGTCAAGCTCCTGAAGTTTGCGGATGACACCACCCTCATTGGACTAATCTCTGGTGGGGACGAGTCCGCATACAGGTGGGAGTCTGACCATCTGGTGTCGTGGTGCAGCCAGAACAACCTGGAGCTCAACGCTCTAAAGACAGTGGAGATGGTTGTGGATTTCCGGCGGAACAGAGCCCCACCCTCCCCCATCACCCTGTGTGACTCCCCCGTCACTATTGTGGATTCCTTCCGTTTCCTGGGCTCCATCATCACCCAGGACCTCAAGTGGGAGCTGAACATCAGCTCCATCACCAAGAAGGCTCAGCAGAGGTTGTTCTTCCTGAGGCAGCTGAAGAAACTCAACCTGCCAAAGACGATGATGGTCCACTTCTACACGGCCATCATCGAGTCCATCCTCTGCTCCTCCATCACCGTCTGGTACGCTGCAGCCACAGCCAAGGACAAGGGCAGGCTTCAGCGGGTCATCCGCTCTGCAGAGAGGGTGATCGGCTGCAATCTGCCGTCCCTGCAGGACCTGTTCGCTTCCAGGTCTCTGAAGCAGCTAAAAAGATTGCGGCCGACCCCTCCCACTCCGGACAAAACCTGTTTGTGCCCCTTCCATCTGGCAGGAGGCTGAGGTCCATCAGGACTACGACGTCCCGCCACACGAACAGTTTCTTCCCGTCGGCAGTCGGGCTCATCAACAGAGCCGGTCCCCCACTGCCTGACTATAACACTCCACCGGTCACTCCCCCTCATACTGCACATGCCACTTTAACTGCAATTCATCACTTTGTCACTTGTCACTTTGTCTCTTGTCTGTTACTTGTTCGTTAGTGCACTTTATGCTTAATATTTTTCTTTTTAACTTTTTAATATTTAATTTTTTTTAACTTTATTCCCTTGTTTTATACTAACTCATAGCCTTAGCCTTATTCTACTAACCCATTGCATTAGCATTTCATTCCACTTTATTTTATTACTTGTGCACTGTGACAATAAATATTGTTCATTCAGTGTGAGTTTATAAATCATACTCAAATCATTAGTTGTGTATTGGTTAAAAGCAGATGTTTTGATTTAATCACACATAATAGTCACATTATGATCTTCTGGATGACATTTAAGATGTCATCGTCTATGATGAAAATAACTCTGGTCTTGTTTGGTTTTTGTAGCGTAGCAGCAGCAGCAAGCCAGAGGAACCAGAGGCCATGTTGGACCTGATTCTTGAGAGTCAGGGTCAGAGACTGGAGGACCAGAGAGCCAGCTTCAACCTGTTACCTGACCCAGGGTCAGCCTCTCTCTGTGGAGCCTGCAGCCCCCCCTTAACTTCACCCAGTGTGGGCTTCTACTACATGCTAATACACTACCAGGTATGTGAGCCAGGTCTCACCACTACACTGATGGAGGTGGGAAAGGTCACACCACTACATGTTTTTCTCTATATCTACCTTAAGCCCGCCGCGTGTTTCTGCGTCTTTACGTCGTGCCGACGCACTGGTTTCACTTCCTGGTTCTAAAGTCTTGCGTGTGTTGCAGAGCGATTCACCTCCAGAACAACAGGTGGAGTAACGTGTTTTTTTGAAGACAACCTAGAGAGTCACGTCTTTGTGTGTGGAAGTCGTTGGTTGCTTTATTTATTTATCATAGACTTTATTGCCCCGTGCATCCACACTGCTCCTTTTCATCAAGGACACATTTGTCCCGTATTTTCCTCCACGACTTTGTTCCCCTCGTTTGTGGAGATCTCCCTCCATGAATCAGAGGCCATCCGGCGTCCTCATAGTCCGCCAATGACGGCTTGTACAAGTGCTCATATTTACGCATTTCTTCACACAAAAGCTCTTCAATCTGATCCGTTCTCTCGTAAACGTTCTTCCTTTTAATAATGGCCGTATTGTGCTGGTAAAACGGAGATGTGAGACTCCGTAAAGGACGTAGTCAGCAGACCAATCACAGCCTGGTGCTGCAGGAGGCTGCGTCGCTTTAGACGCTAGTCTAGAAAAATGGGTCGACGCACGCAAGGAGGTGTGAAAAGACACGCAAGGGACACACGGGACACGCAAGGGGCTCTTGCGTCTGCGTTTCCTTGCGTCGCTCTGAAAACGCAGAAGCATAAACTAGGCTTTACTCACTCTCCGTGTCTCCAGTCAGACACGATGGAGACAGGAGTTCCTTCATCCGGTCTGACTAGTGTTATGTCTCTCTCTCTCTCTTAACTATCTCACTTTCTCTCCATCTGTCTGACTGGTATCAAATCTGACTCTCTATCTACCTGTCTCCCTCTCTGTCGGTTCGTCTGTCTCCAGTCTAACAGGATGGAGGACCAGAGGTGTTCCCTTCCAGATCTGGATGAAGCTGCTGGTGAAGGTCAGCAGGACTTCTTTGGGTTGATTCAGAGAGTTCAGTCCAGGAGGATGGACGAACAGAGAGCCTCTCTGCTGCCGACACATACTGACGACGACCATGACGTCATTAACGCAGGCCCCTCCCCCAATCCCCCAAATCATCAGTGATGAGTACCAGAGTCTTATAGGGTTCTTCAGAACCACTCTTCTAGAGCTCCACAAAGACTAGAATTATCCTGATGTTAAGACGGTTGGGACGGATCCAGGTTCAGGTCTTTAGGATCCAGATGTGTTGACGACTGATATTAGATTACAGACCAGATGAATGTGCTTCTCTGAGTAGTTAGTGGTTGGTAGAGCTGGTTATTAGAGCTGTGGATGAATGTTTCTCTTTGTTAACAAAAGAGGTAAAGAAGAAGAATGTTATCTGATAAATATGGACGTAACAAAACAATCTAAGATATTTAATGATCATCTTTACTAATACATAAGGAAACTTGTTTAAACTGGTTTGTTTTATTATGGGAATGATGGGAACATAGTCCTTCAAAAAAACTTTTAAGATTTATCTCAGTTTTCCCTTTTTAGGAATTCAGACATAGGATTCAGGTACAGACCAGGACCAAGTCCTGAACTGGCCCCAAATCTAATCAAAGTTCCTGAACCAAGTCCAGACCAGGTCTTGGCCCTGTGTTCTCAACCTAAAACTTCTGTCCTGTAAAGTCAATAAATCACAGTTGGAAATTTTAAACTGTAAGACTCATTGTAGCATGTGACAGATATTAAAATATATTTATGGAACAAATATCAATTTCCGTTTTTATTTTTCATTCATTATAATTCTTACAATAATTGAAACACTTTCATTCATGAGTAAAATTTGCAATGAGAACACTGAAGACTGTGTCTTTTTATGTCCAAAATAAAAGAGAAACTAACCCTACTTAAATGAAGTAAGTACTGAAGTACTCATAAGTTAAACTATTTTTGATTATTGATCCCCTAAGGGCGAAAAACACTTCCAAGTTCCAATATACATAAAGACTAAAATAAACAGGTAATTACCATGAAAGAAATATTCAATTTAAAGTTATATAGCAGAGATGAACCTGATATTACTGCTTCCACACGGCTCCACCCTTCAGTGGCTCCAACTTTTACCTGCCAGATGGAGGCGCTGAGGGACCAACTTATGATAACTTGCTCACACACAAATTGCCGTGTAGGATTTAGTAGTTAGCATTTATTAACTCAAAGCCATTAACTAAATACAAAATGGTGTTGCACACAGGAGCATACACACAGGGTGTTGTTAACAAGAGGAACTACACACGCAGGTCCATCTCAGGTACATCTCATGTGCATCTCATGTACATATCAGGGGAATCTCAGGTAAATCTCAGGTGCATATCAGGAATATCCTGGTGCATCTCAGATGCTTAGATGCATCTCAGGGACATCCAAGGTACATATCAGGCACATATCATGTACATCTCAGGTGGATCTCAGGTGCAACACCTGCAGGTAAGCAGCTACACAGACACAGACAGTGTCGTCACAAACCCAATCGACAGATGTGCTTATGCTCATTTTTATATACAAATACTTTAAAACTCCAGCAAAGTGCGGTTCTGTTGTAAAGAATCAAGGACGCCGAAAGAAAGGATCCGGAAACTTAGTCAGAGTGATACCTCTTTGCAGGTTGCGCTTTGAGACTCACTGCGCATGCGCTGTTAGGACACAGGAAGTAAAAAAGCATCAGGCTTCCATCCACGAGCCGTCGGAGCCGAGCATGTGAGACGTTCAGTAATTGAATCTTTAGAACCTTTCAGACGGAGCCAGAACCGGGACCACACTGGGGTTTGATTGTTATATTCTTTTTTGCTTAGGTTGAGTGAAATAACCCGAAAGTAGTGTAAGTGGCGCCATGAAAAGAGCCGTTGGAATTATCTCAACGCAAAGGAAAGGAGCTTCAATGCTTCCCTACTTACGTCAGCTCCTTTAGTATAGGGACCATTGGACCATCATTTAAGACAAAATGAGATCATCCACAATTCCTTGCGGAGGCAAAATTTAGGCCGTATTTGAATTGTCAAATAGATATGCCTTCACATGCTTCTGTGGGTGGTGGTTCTATCTGATGGTGGTTCTATGTGATGGTGATTCTATGTGATGGTGGTTGTCCCTGCAGTGGTCCTGCCGTGCACCTGGCTTACTACTCCCAATATTTTAATAATTTCCGTTATAGGAATTGAATGTATTGTACATCTTTTACTTGTTCATTCTGTACACATGACATCATTTGACATCATTGTAGTCTGTCCATCGTGGCAGAGGGATCCTCCTCTGCCTCTCACCAACCTCTCACAGCACAAAACTCTCTCACTGAGGTTTCTTCCCTTTTTCTCCATCAAAGGGTTTTTCCTTTTTTGGGGAGTTTTTCCTGTGCAGATGTGAGCGTTTGGGGACTGAGGATGTCACATGTGTGCAGACTGTAAAACCCTCTGAGGCTAATTTGCGATTTTGGGCTACACAAAATAAAATGAATTGAATGTGTTGTTACAGTGTGAGTTGAGGCTGCCGCGTGTTTCTGCGTCTTTACGCGTCTTTACGCGCTGGTTTCACTTCCTGGTTGTAAAGTCCTGCGTGTGTTGCAGAGCGATTCACCTCCAGAACAACAGCGGAGTCACGTGTTTTGTTGAAGACGACCTAGAGAGTCACGTCTTTGTGTGTGGAAGTCGCTGGTTGCTTTATTTATTGATCATAGACTTTATTGCCCCGTGCATCCACACTGCTGCTTTTCATCAAGGACACATTTGTCCCGTATTTTCCTCCACGACTTTGTCCCCTCGTTTGTGGAGATCTCCCTCCATGAATCAGAGGCCATCCGGCGTCCTCATAGTCCGCCAATGACGGCTTGTACAAGTGCTCATATTTACGCAATTCTTCCCACAAAAGCTCTTCAATCTGATCCGTTCTCTCTCATTCTTCCTTTTAATAATGGCCGTATTGTGCTATGAAAACGGAAATGTGAGACTCCGTAAAAGACGTAGTTAGCAGACCAATCACAGCCTTGTGCGCTGCGGGAGGCTTGCGAGGCTTGCGTCGCTTTCGATAGGTAGATGGAGCAGAAAATACACATTCAATAGTCTTCTGGTCCGCGATAGGTTTCATCTTTTTCTTAGGGGGCATTTTTCCGTTCTACTTTTCCTGCTCACTCAAGGAAAAACGGGATCACGTGGGAAGCGGGATGTATGCGCAGACGACGTCTGCGCATAACAAAATGGCGACCGCCATTCAAAGTATTTTTCATTGCCGCACACCTACCACCAAAATGTTTTATTTATTTCATTACAGCCCGTCCGCTAGACGTTAAAACATAATCGCCCGCAGTGGACACAACATAGAGCAGTTAAAACGTGAATTTATTTACTAATAAGTTTGTATCTATATTGTTGAAATAAAATCTGCGGTTACTGGCTAGTTGTTGTTGTAGCGGCTAAACTAGCATGTCGCGATACGTACTCGAGGGGATCATGTCTGCGCAGAGTTGATGCGCAAAGGGTTGAAACCGCGCTTGTCAGGGACGCAGGATGCGTACCTATCAATATCACTGAACGACAACTGTTTGGTTCCGCTGATGAACTACTCGCAGACTTTTTCGACTCACTTTCAACTTGATAAAATTCTTATTTTCCTTGGTGCATGTAGACAATAGAAGCGATGGCGCCCCCAGCACTTCCTGTGGTGTATTGTAATACTGAATAAAAAAGACCCTTAGCTCTGAATCGTTTTATAATAAACAACGTGTCGACGATAGAAAACCGATCTTATCACGGCAAATGACCTTGACTATTCTAATCCAGCCGAATTGTCGAGGGAAGTTCCTCACTGAGTGAAATGACCCAGAAGTAGTGTAAGTGGCGCCATGGAAAGAGCTGTTCCTAAATTGTGTTTATTGTTTTACAGCTTTAACAACCATAGCCTCCTTCTCCTCCTCCTGCTTCATTACCTTGTTCATCTACACCATCATCATCTCCTCCACGTCCGCCTGTCATGAAGCCTCCAACCAGTTGCCATGGTTATCAGAAGTAGTCGACGTCGAGGAATATCCTTTAGCTGTTGACATTAATACACCGGAGAGACAAAAAGCAAAATGGACAGAGAGATCAGTATTGCTTCTTCTGCTGCTGATGTAGACACAAGCAGACAAAAGAAGAGAAAAAAGAGGCAGGAAGTGTTTGAGGAGACACCGCCTGTAGTAGACACAACTGAGGCGTTGAAGAAGAAGAAGAAGAAGAAGAAGAAAGAGAAAAATGAGCGGAGTGAAAAAGGTATATCCACGGTAACAGACCATAACCACACAGGAAAAGATTTCTCAGTTTCCATGGAAACCAACAAAACCGGAAAGAAGAAGAAGAAAGATGGGAATATAATGGAAGTAATGTTAGAGGGAGAGGAGAAGAACAAGAGCGATGTAGGAGAGAAGAAGAGAAGAGCGAAGAGGACAGAAGGAGGAAGAGAGAATAGTGCAATCACAACATCAGTTCCAAAAGAGGAGTGAGTTCTTCTCTTTATCGTCAAGAGTATTCGATTGACTGCAAGGATCAACGGGATGGTGGTGTTGAGTAATGCAAGTTGTAAGATGCATTAATAGCGTTGTAGCACACTGTATCGGTACAGGCCGTACCATGCTAAGCTATAGTTGTTCCAATAAGAGGGCACCCTTTTTAGCCAATCCAATATATTTTTATTGTATTTTTATTTGTGCTCCAATTAGACGGCTTGATAGACAATGTACTGCTTTGATTATCAGGCTGGACTGGTTGTTGGAGGAGCTGCAGGAGTTTCTCCCAAACATCAAGACGAGATCAGCCAAACACATCGATAGACTGCTTAAATACGACCTGCATCGCTTCAAACAATTCAAACAGCAAGGTACTTCTACCATTACCAACGTGCTACTAGTATGGTGGAGACGACAACTAATGCTGTAAACAACAAGGAGCGCTGCCGATGCTCTAAACAAGGAGAAAGCACTGCAAACTGCTGAAGCAGAACCTGCAGTGTTTCAATAAACATAACAAAAATATTTCGAAAAAACCTTAAACATCAATGTACTAATACTTTGAATACAGACATTTCACCTGTTCCTCTCTCTCCAGGTGTGGATCTGTGTTGGGGGAGGCTTTCTCAGCAGGAGAATCAGCAAATCAGAGACAATGTCAGAGACTTTCTCGCTCTGACAAGCATCAGCTCGGCCAAACGGCTTCTGTTTCCTCAGAGGTACCCAGAGCAGGAGAAGCAGATCAAGAAGCTAAGAGCACGTCATCACTTCCTGGAGAGGATTGGTATGTACTGTTAACAAACAACGCACCTCACCTTGTAATCAAACCCAGACAGTAAGATGGTCCTCCTGTTGCTGCAGTACTGTAGAGTCGTTTTGGTAAAGATGTCTTAGTGGTACGGCAGTCTTTACTGCAGTCTTTTGTGGTACTGCAGTCTTTCATGCTATTGTAGTCTTTGTGGTACTGCAGTCTTTCATGCTACTGTAGTCTTTGTGGTACTGCAGTCTTTCATGCTACTGTAGTCTTTGTGGTACTGCAGTCTTTCATGCTACTGTAGTCTTTGTGGTACTGCAGTCTTTCATGCTACTGTAGTCTTTGTGGTACTGCAGTCTTTCATGCTACTGTAGTCTTTGTGGTACTGCAGTCTTTCATGCTACTGTAGTCTTTGTGGTACTGCAGTCTTTCATGCTATTGTAGTCTTTTGTGGTACTGCAGTCTTTCATGCTACTGTAGTCTTTGTGGTACTGCAGTCTTTCATGCTACTGTAGTCTTTGTGGTACTGCAGTCTTTCATGCTATTGTAGTCTTTTGTGGTACTGCCGTCTTTCATGCTATTGTAGTCTTTTGTGGTACTGCAGTCTTTCATGCTACTGTAGTCTTTGTGGTACTGCAGTCTTTCATGCTATTGTAGTCTTTTGTGGTACTGCAGTCTTTCATGCTACTGTAGTCTTTGTGGTACTGCAGTCTTTCATGCTATTGTAGTCTTTTGTGGTCTGCAGTCTTTCATGCTACTGTATTCTTTGTGGGCTGCAGTCTTTGAGGGAAGGGGATCAGCCTGGGAAGTTATCAAGTTACCATGTCTTTACTTACTAGTCTCTGGCTCTCTCCACAGCTGAGGGGATTCCTCGTTCGTGTCAACAGGTTTACATAAGAGCCAAGAAGATGTTTGACAAGAGGAACTACAAGGGGAGGTCAGTGAGACCTGAAGGGTCAGATGTTAGACCAGGTAGTCAGTCCACATCAAACGCAATCCAAAGGTTTCACGCCACAGAATTACAAAGTGTATACACAGACGTGATAAGACACCAGTGCATACACTTTGCGACGCAAATCTGCGTCAGCAAAGTTGAACCAAATTCAGGCGAAATTGCGTTGACACCCAAACACAAAAGTTGGAATTTCAACGTTGGCAACATTGTGCTGCTGTGGAAAGCCTACCAGCGTTGAGATGCTCCCCGTCGTCACTGACGTCCTGCAGACAGTTACCCAATCAGAACAAATGGAGGGTAAATGATTAGTAACGCTATCTGTGTGTGGGTACCCGAGCTGTACGATACATCCTGGTACCTACTGCGACCGCTTCAGGAAAGACCTCTTTTAACAAACAGGACACAACCATATGTGCCGTTTTTATAACATCTCATCAGTGCACTGGATATAGTACATTATAGTGTGGGATCACACACTGCTGCTCTATATCAAGTAATACCCGCGCCACACTTTCCGCTGGACACATTTACCGACCGCATTGCACCGCTCCGTGTCCCTCGCACTTTTTTGTTTTTGTTTTATTTAGCTTTTTTTAACATTCCAGTTTTAATGTCTAACTATTCTGTTGAATAGAACTCATTGTTCTTTGAAATAGCGTACTTGTGTTACTATGCTATTATATTGTCATTATGTTCTGTATCAGTGGCATGAAATGGTCTGAAAATTGCAATATCGCAATAAATGTTGGTGCAATAGTTACACAACAACAATTTGATATTGTGAAAGCCCCAAATAACGTATGTGGCCCTTAAAGAGCCGTTTGGATGTGCTTGAGCTCACTGTGTCTCCATGGGACCGTTCCCCGACAGAAGTATGATGTGCAGGCGATTAACTCCGGTACCCGATCCAGCCAACAGGCTATCAAACGGGTTAACAGCTAGCATCATGTAGCGCTGGAAGCAGCAGTCGTCCATGCGCACTTCCTGTAGAAGCTGTCTGCGCCTACGGATGCTATTTTGTACCAAAACACCACGGCGTTTGTTGAGTAGGATTTCCACAACAGGAACAGTCGCTATGTTTTCCTTGGTTGATGCGGAGGAAGCTCATCTGTTTCCAGGGTGATAAGCCACGCCCCCTCTGTCGCTTCCAGCCGAATTACACGATTCATGCAAATTGACCAGAAATGATTGAGTACGCGGTGGTTTTGAGGTGGTGCAAAACATGGCGTTTAGTGTGAACGTGCCATTTTATGCCACTGACTGTTACGAAGTAACAGTAGGTCAGATGTTAGACCTAAAGCTATGACTCTTTGGGCTGTCCAGCCAGGACCTGAAGACTTGGAGGCCTGATGTTCCCAGCATCCCTCTGTGTGTTCATGTTCCACCTGTCCTCACTCAGGTTCTCGGAGCAGGAGGTGCACCAACTGACAAAGTTTCAGAACCTATATGGGAATGACTGGAAGAAGATTTCTGAGATGATGGGCCGCAGCGTGTTCGCCTTAGAGAAGCGCTTCGCACAACTCGGTAAAACAGCTGATTCAGAACTTTTAGAACTCACTTTAGCCAGCTCTAAGAGGGGGAGCGCATTGATCCGTTTGGAAAATCCTTAAACGGGTGACTAATCTTTGTGAGACTGAAAGTGTAACTCCTGTCGTAGAACGCATGTGTGTATCTGTAATGTGTGTGTATGTGTGTCTCTTCAGCTACAGGTCGGGGTAAATGGAGTCCAGATGAGAAGTCCAGGTTGAAGCGGGCTGTGAGAGATTACCTTGAGGTTCTGGTCCAGCAGAGTTCCTCAGGTCCCCGTCTGAGTAGGCAGCAGCTGTGTAACTCTCTGCCTTGGAATGTGATCAGTCGGAAGGTCGGGACCAGATCAATTTGCCAGTGTCGGGTCAAGTGGTCAGTACATCTTCCAGTTCTGCTACTTAACTATACCAACGCTGGACTGGTCTGTAGGTCTTCAGGTCCGTAGGTTTTAAAGTGTTCAGTTATTCGGGTATGTAGTTTGCCAGATCTTTGGTATGGTAGTCAGGGCTTCAGGTCCACAGGCCTTTAGATGGTCAGGTCTTCAGATGTTTGACGTGTTGTTGTGTTCCAGGTTCTCCATCCTGAGGTTAAAACTGACTTCAGCTGGAACCTTCACCAGAGGAGTTGAAGGAATTGCGGCTAAGATTCGGCTCATCAACACGTAAGATAACATAAAACACCCGGCTGAACAAGTGTGGGCACCCCTGCGTTAGACCTTTCCGACCACAGCGTTCGTCCAGGCAGCTTGAAAATGACCGTCCCCCCTCCCCGCGGCCGGACCATCCGCGCGCCACCTCGTTGTCTGCTGGTGGGAACGTGCTCACCTGTGTGGGCGCCCACGTTTCTGCCTGTGTCCATCGGGGCCATGCACAGCAAAAACACGTGCAGACTTTAATTACCGAGGGCAAATAGTGACTTGGATGAATATAAATAGTAGGCAGATGGCTAACTAGCTACTGTAGCTACACAGGCGCTAGGCTATCGTTAGCAGCTGCGGGCACGGAGTCATCAGTCGTGTGAGTAAAGTTTTTCCATTGGCTCAGGCACCGAAAGGAAGACGCAAAATCTGCGTTGTGGTTCGGTCCCGTAGGTACCGGTCGCATAGGAATATGGCACCGGTTTTCGGTACCTGTCAAGTTTTCTCCACCTCACAATCCACGAGGACAAATCAAAGTTTCTGGCTCAATCACTTTTATTTAGTTTTTCTTTTGCCTTTGTCCATTGATTTGCCAGTTCAGAGTTAGGTTGTAAACCTTTAAAGACAAAGAACATAAATTACCTCTCAAAATTAAACATTCACATTAAAAACACAAGTTTAACTGGGTTTACATTTAAATAAACATCTTATACTTTCAAATTTAATGAAATATTTTAGTAAATTCTGACAACTTGATGCTGCAATGATTCACCCTAATCTACTCAGTTACCCATGCTTTCAACATAAATCAGCATTTTAAATAAAATCTCACCGACCATTGGCGTCTTTGGACCGAACCGTAGAGTAACTTGTGTCTCTTCTCCGCTGTGCCTGTTTAAAAAGGGAATGAGGACCTCTACACAGGTGCTCCACAATTAGTGATTTCTGCTGGTGCACTCTGGGAAGCGTAGTCAAGATTCAGCTTAACAGTACCCAACCCTAGTTTTAAGTATATTTGTAATACATGATGATAGTAGTGAGCAGGAGAACATCAATGTTTGAAACTTAACTAAAAAAAGGTAACTTATAATTTATTTTTCAAAATATACTGAGGGACCCTGCACAGACAAACTATAAACTAAATGAAATGACACTTACAACAGCACTAACAACTGTGTGTTTCAGGCTGTACAACATGGGTGTGGAGGACATAGCGGACATCGACTGGGAAGAGGTTGTGCGCCTTGTGGGGTGAGGTCAAAATGAGCAGTAGGACTACAGTGTAGAACAGGCACGTGCACAGACCCTTAGTGGGGCCCTAGATAAGAAAAGTGTGTACTAGTGTGTACTTACTGTGTTTCAGTAAAGTGACGCCTGTGTGCGTTCAGAGGAGTTTCTACAGACTGAAAGTCTCCAAAGTTCCCAACTGGATCAGTTTATCCTACGGAGGTCAGTACTGCAATACTATGCTTGTTCCACAGTACTTCATATGTCAGTACTATAGTACTTCATATGTCAAGTACTGCAGTATTTGACAAAGCAGTATTGCACTCTATTCATAAAAGGCCAGTATTTAAGTTGTCACTGATGTATACTGTGATGTCACTTCCTGTCAGAAATCATCGACTTCCTGCAGCTGAACGTGTCTCCGATCCTGCAGGCGAAGCTGCAGAAGGCCAGCAGAGAGGAAAGCCGGGGGGAGGCGCAGGGGGAGGACGGCTTCCTGCTTTCTGACATTGTCCCTTCACACGATGAAGACGACGACTACATGGAAAGCGACAACAGTCAGCTGACATTTGGCCAATCAGGATGCAGATAGATTCCAAATGAAATTGCTGTCAGACTCATCTCATGTGTGCACAGCATCAGTTCACGCACACACATAAATGTTGACGCTCAACAGGATCCTCATTAAGTGATCTACCAGTGTTAAATACTTTGGAGCTCAATAGGAAAGCCCCACAAGTATTCTGAGTTATAGTGTGACTAATTGACTGATTGATTATATAAACATGGAGCAGGAAGTGAACCTAATCAAGGCTATATCACTTTATTAAGACTGATGTCTTTGTTTTAATAAAATATTTTGTGACCTTTTCAAGTTTCAGTTTTTTTTCCATTTATAGAGAACCTAAAAATGAAATCCGGATAATCACATGTATATTATTTATTATGGTTTCCTTTCTGAGTGAAGATACAATATTTTAAAATACTTTGTTATTCATTGTTATTGTCATTAGTAGACAAATATTGAGATCAAAATTGTACCATATGGTTTAAATTAAGGCACAAAAGCAATGGGTGTTCAGAGTAATCTATTAACACAAACCATTGAGTGTCCTAAACTAACAAGTATTTAAATACAGTGACACGTTCATCATTTATAAACAGAATCACACGGTGATCACATTAGATGGTTATATCAGTCACATGATCACCCGATCATGTGATCACTTGGTTCTCCAGTAGGGATCAACTAACTTGGTTCATTATCAAACAACTACAGTGAACAGGGGATCTGTTTAAAGAGATAAATAAGTGCATCATGGGTAATGGAGCTCATCTGGCAGTGATGGCCTGCAGGCTGCTGGTCCTCTTCATGATGTTCGGAACAAAGTGAAGTCCTGAAGCTCTCTCGATGGTTTCTATGGGAACCAGGAAACGCTCCAGAGGAATCTTCTCGTCTATTGGTTCATTGGGTAAAACATATGATCGAAGCTCCACCCCCTTTCCATCTACCTTCTCCAGGATCAGCACCTGTGGAACCAAATGAGCAGCCATCAGCAGTCAGGTCACCTACGGCATCATCATCATCATACAAGTGGACTAACCTTGAAGAAATGCGTCGGCACAGCGACGTGGTTTCGTCCTAACACCTGATACCTGACGTAGAGTTTCCCATCAGCCTGCTGACTAAAACACACACACACACACCTGGTGATGTCCTCCTGTAGCCCCTACGACAGCGTACTCAGACATCGCAGAAGAAGAAGTGGTTACCTGGGCAGGTAGAGCGGTCCGGTACAGACGTAGATGTTGAGGTAATGTTTGGTTAGAGAGCGACACAGTTTCTCCAGATTGTTCCAGGTGTTCTGATTCATATGAGGGTTCTGACGACATTGGCATATTAATCAGTCAGTGATGACATCACAGCATTTGACCTGGTCAGGAAGACTTGTACACGCGCACACACACACTACAGACTGAAGAAACAACAACAAGATATTGAATAGATGGATCTCACAGCACCACTACTTAATTCACTGATTATTCAACATATTTTTGTTCAATTTTCGCATTACTCTCTGTAGGCGACAAAACTTTTGTCTTGCCAAAATCTGACCTTTCTGTGTTCATTAAATGATCAATCTTTCTTCAGTGAAGCAATTTTATTTTAGTATATTAAACATAATTTGAGAGGGTTTTAGCTTTAATATGAGCCATTTAAAAAAACAATGGATTAATAAAAAGTCAGGTTATAAGCTGTTGTTTCTACTAAATGGATAAGTGATGAGACTGTTGTCAGGGACTTTACATATTCTGTTTGTGTGTTTATTCACCTGTGGGGCCACATTGCTCAGGTAGAAGGTGTCTTCCATTGCTTTCTGACTCCACCTGTGATTGGCTGCCGCTGCCATGTGACCTCTGTCAAAGCCACTCCCCTTGAAGTCTGCGTTGGTCGCCCTGTGAAAGATGTGGATGCTGGAGGGGAGGGGGGGTCATCAGCACTCCCTGTCTGACACTTTGTTGTCACCTGCCGTCCTGTTTATTTCTGTCTCACCTTTCGTCCTCTTTGAAGTTGCAGTACTTCCTGTCTGACGGCCCGTTCAGGGAGGCTGGGGTAAGCCTCTCTATTACCCAGGATGGAGTGCGTGTGCGGGGGTCGTACGAGGAAACATAGGACTCTCTGGTTTTGATGTTGGCCACTGAGGGAAATCCATACTTCATCACCGATCCTGACCCACCCGGACTCACCTTGACAGACAGGTAGACGCCGCGTGAGACAGGTAAGCAAAGGTAGACACAGAGTGGGACATACATTATGAGACAGGTAATTAGTGTGAGACAGTATAACATACGATTATATGATATTAATATTATGACATACAGACTTTGTTTCTCTTATATCCGTTATAACGTTTTTATAGTGACATTACAATATGCCACTTTAAATGACATCTGTTATACATAACGTTTGATGAAATTGCACTTTCTTGTTTTTCTGGGTTTGTTTCCTTATGGTTGAAATGCACTGAAATGCGGCCCGGTGGTTGGGGATCACCGAGCTAAATGACATGTAATGTAATGGTTATACCACATGTTTTATATAACATCAATAAATAAAACATGTATGTTAAGGTTATGTATTCATATTTAATATATACGTTTATGTATTTACAAGCAGTTGTGCTTCAACCTTTTTCAGATTTCTGATTACAGTCCGATAAAGCGCCCGCAGCCGCACACGCGGACACACACGGCTCACCGTCAGCTCGGAGGCCTGGACTCTCGCTACGGGGAGCACCGGCACTCTGCCCAGTAGACCCAGAGGAGCACCGGCTTCCTCTTCCTCCTCTTCCCGGCCTCTGACGCCCAGAAGGCGGCTCACTGAAGCTCCAAAACTCGCACCGACCAACAAGGTCGCTCCGGTACGGAGCAAGCGCGTCATGATCCGGGCGCTCTGCTAGTGGCGCACTCTGATGACGTCAAGATTTGACGTTACTTCTTCCGGTAAATAAAAACATCTTTCCCCTTTTTTTATAGAGTAATGTATTAATTAGGGTCCTCGCTTCGAATAGCGTAGAGGAACCTATTGTATTTCATGGAATTATTATTATTATTCTCCTTTTTGGGGGCTTTATCATATTCAAAAAGTGCATATCAGGACTGTTAAAAAATAATAATGATAATTTTGGCAATTTTGGGGTCTCTTGCATTTGAGTACAAAGAAATGTCTCTATAGGGCCCCTAGAAATTTGAAAAGTAGGCCAGTTTTGCCCCGGATGTCCGATCGACTGTAAATTTGGCACACATTTGGCACTCTTCGACATCCATCAATAGTAATACTTTCAATTCATTCGACAGAAATGATTGAAATGAACATATTATCTCATCATATGGGTTCATGATCATCTCCTGCTCATCAGCGGAGAAAAAAGACGCTCTTTAAGTTTATTTGCCGTTATACTGTTAAAAAAATCCTAGTTTCTGTAATCGACTCTTCCGCCTTCTGACGTAAGATTATCCTGATGATTGACATCTGGTTCAAACTAAGGAGACGCTTTGAGCGTCGATCCGCCTTTGAGGAACCGAGATAGTCTGATGTCAATCATCTCGGTAATCTGAGCTGGATAATCGGACATTTGATTACCAAAATTGGAACATATGTTGACATAAACATTGAACCGCTGAACAAATATGGTTCTTTGAGAATATTTGAAGAATAGGGGGGGCTGCAGTTAATCGTTGAAAATCTGCCTTTTTAGCCTATTTGTTTAGCCTATTTTCACGATTATTTAAGCGTTGTAAAACTCCTCCCAGAGATTAAACCTGATTCTTTTCAAATTTGGGCAGTGTGATCTTGAGGCCGTGCCTTTAAAAATTGCATTTTGCCGGAAAAAATATTAAACTAAGAATTGCATAAAAGGCGGCAAGTGGGGGGTGGGACGTTGATCCTTCGACAAGAACAAATAACTCTACTCCACATGGTCAGGTCCTTTCCAATGTTCACATGTTTGATGAGACTCCGGGCCTGAAGACGTGTAAAGTGGAATCAAACTCATAGCGCCACCTACTGGTAACAGAAAGTCACATTTTCTGGTATCCAGTAAACAACAATGGTGCTTTTGAGATATTAAACATGCTGAAATTGTAACTAAATGTGGCAAAAACTTTAGACTCGAAGGAGCCCCAGCGCTACATTTGACCTACAAGTTTGAAACTCAGTAGGAATATGTAACAAAAGTAAACCGAAGAAAAGTCTCTTTGGACCATGCAAAACCGATTTGTGTGTGATATGCACATCAGGACTAGTGAATACTTTTCCCAGACATTTACCCATATTTCTCATGTGTCATGAATAACCTTACCCTGAAGATATCCATATGATAATTTTGAATTCTAGTCATAGCGCTTCCTAGTGGCAACAGGAAGTGGAATGTTTTTTATTTTATACCCTGCACTTCGCAAATTAATCAGATCCCTCTTAAATGTTGTCATAAAAGGCCTAAGACCATGATAATGTTAAAGATGGAGATTGCAAAGCGGCATTCCTGGCGTCGCGAGTTCTTGTCTGCGTTTCCGTCCTACCCTCACCTATGGTCATGAAAGAATAAGGTCATGGGTACAAGCGGCCAAAAGGTGAGTAGCTGGCGTCTCCCTTAGGGATAGGGTGAGAAGCTCAGCCATTCGTGAGGAGCTCGGAGTAGACCCGCTGCTCCTTTGCGAGCCAGTTGAGGTGGTTTGGGCATCTGGTGAGGATGCCCCCTAGGGAGGTGTTCCAGGCACGGCCAGCTGGGAAGAGGCCCCGGGGAAGACCCAGGACTAGGTGGAGAGATTCTATCTGCACTGGCCTGGGAACGCCTTGGATCCCCCAGTCAGAGCTGGTAGATGTGGCCCAGTAAAAAGGAAAGTTTGGGGTCCCCTGCTGGAGCTGTTGCCCCCGCGACCTGACCCCGGATAAGCAGTTGAAGATGGATGGATGGACAATCTTTATACTTAGTAAGAAGTAAAAACAATATTTAGTTTGTAATAAAAACAATACTTAGTCTTTAATAACAGCAATACTTAGTAAACAGTAAAAGCAATACAGAAAGCAGTAAAAATCAGACTGTAATTCAATGATATCCAATATAAACACACACACACTAATATATATATATATATATATATATATATATATATATATATATATATATATATATATATATATATATATATAACAATACTTAGTAAGCAGTGAGAGGACAATACAGAAACCAGTAAAAGCCACACTTGGACTGTAATTCAAAAAATAGTAGACTGAGTAAATTGAAAAAGTGAATCATTATTTTATTACGGCAAAATAAAAACCAAAGAAGTTTGTGTCCATGGTATTATGTTATTTACAGTACAGTAGTATTTATGATAGTAGTTGTGCTGGAATCCGTTTAAAGAAGCAGGTTTAGTGGCAACTCAGAGTTTTTTAACCCTGAGATTAGGGAAACTCTGGCTTCTTCCACAAAGGGAGGTAACTAAAGCTCAGGCTCAGTCACCATGGTAACTAAAGCTCAGGGTCAGTCACCATGGTAACTAAAGCTCAGGATCCGTCTCCATGGTAACTGAGCCTGTGAACATCACCTGGTCGGGAGCAGGTTCTTTCTCCTTCCACAGGCTCCTCCCTCTGACAGCAGCCCAGCCAATGACACAGCGCGCTTTCATTTCCTCATTCATTCATGTACTCTGTATCAGTGGGATTGTAGCGCAGTTTCCACATATGAACAAAATAAGATGTTACGTTAAAGTGTTTTCTGGAACACGTCACGTCCTTTCCTGGACGATCCTGTTGATGAAGAAGCGCTTTTACTTCGCAGGGTGTTAAACACGTCGGGAGAGAATATTGATATATTGTCATTTCCAGATAACTACTTTTTTGAACTGTATCGTTTTTCTTCACAGTCCATCAAATATGTACATAACCTCACCCCTCCTCATATAACTAATGTCCCCCATCATGGACATCCTCTCACGTCTGAGGAGATTCTTTGTGTAGCATTAAGTTGTTCCGCAAACGGCAGTTTCCTGTACAACTTTGGTGATGCAGGGAATATTAGTAAAGCTGGTGTATGCAGAGCTGTAAGAGAAGTGTGCCTCACTCTGAAACCTCTTTTAAACATTTTGTTCCCTGGACACAAACCAGTGAGAGCCATTAAAGAGGAGTTCCACAGGATTGTGCCTAAATAAAATACATTATAGGTTCAATACCATTGTACCAGTTTTTACCAGCAATATTGTTCTTTATTTTAGCGTATTTGTGTATGTGTATTTCAAGCCTGTGTGTATTGCATTCTAACTGTGTAAAAACTGGGAATTGGTAAAACATATGGATTATGATCAGTGTGTAAATCAAATATTAACTGACAACATTATGTTGGAACTTATAGGGGTTGTCGCGGCGTAGGGGTATGTAATATAACCTACGCATTGACCCGAGCAGCAATTTTCTCCCACGCCGTTTCTCTGTCTTTTGCTGCAGTAGCAGTGTTGCTTTTCTTTCTAATTACGGGTTCATACTTGCCGTACGCTTGCATTAATATGTCCAGCTCAATAGGGGTGAATACAGTGCATCCGGAGAGTATTCACAGCGCTTCATTTTTTCCACATTTTGTTATGTTACAGCCTTATTCCAAAATGGAATAAAATTCATTAATTTCCTCAACATTCTACACACAACAACCCATAATGACATCAGTATTCACAGCCTTTGCTCAATACTTTGTTGAAGCACCTTTGGCAGCAATTACAGCCTCAAGTCTTCTTGGGTATGATTCCACAAGCTATTTCTGGGCAGTTTCTCCCATTCTTCTTTGCAGAACCTCTCAAGTTCCATCAGGTTGGATGGACAGCGTCGGTGCACAGCCATTTTCAGATCTCTCCAGAGATGTTCAATCGGGTTCAAGTCAGGGCTCTGGCTGGGCCACTCAAGGACATTCACAGAGTATCTTGGCTGTGTGCTTCGGGTCGTTGTCCTGTTAGAAGATGAACCGTCGCCCCAGTCTGAGGTCCAGTGCTCTTTGGAGCATGTTTTCATCGAGGATGTCTCTGTACATTGTTGCATTCATCTTTCCCTCAATCCTGACTAGTCTCCCAGTTCCTCCTGCTGAAAAACTTCCCCACAGCATGATGCTGCCACCACCATCCTTCACTGTAGGGATGGTATTGGCCAGGTGATGAGCAGTGGCTGGTTTCCTCCAGACATGACGCTTGGCATTCAGGCCAAAGAGTTCAATCTTTGTTTCATCAAACCAGGGAATTTTGTTTCTCATGGTCTGAGAGTCCTTCAGGTGCTATTTTGCAAACTTTTTACTGAAAAATGGCTTCCGTCGGGCCACTCTACCAAACAGGCCTGATTTGTGGAGTGCTGCAGAGATGGTGGTCCTTCTGGAAGGTTCTCGTCTTTTCATAGAACAACGCTGGAGCTCTGTCAGAGTGACCATCGGGTTCCTGGTCACCTCCCTGACTATGGCCCTTCTCCCCCGATCGCTCAGTCTGGCTGGGCGGCCAACTCTAGGAAGAGTCCTGGTGGTTCCAACCTTCTTCCGTTTCCGGATGATGGAGGCCACTGTGCTCATTGGGACTTTCAATGCTGCAGAAATCTTTCTGTACCCTTCGCCAGATCTGTGCCTCGATACAATTCTGTCTCGGAGGTCTACAGCTAATTCCTTGGACTTCATGGCTTGGTTTATGCTCTGATATGATTCCTCTGTGATACCTTATATAGACTAGTGTGTGCCTTTCTCAATCATGTCCAATCAACTGAATTTAGCACAGGTGGACTCCAATCAAGTTGTAGAAATACCTCAAGGATGATCAGTGGAAGCAGGATGCACCTGAGCTAAATTTTGAGTGTCATGGCAAAGGCTGTGAATACTTATGTTCATGTTATGTTTTTGTTCTTTATTTTTAACAGATTTTCAACTCAACTCTGAGTCAACCTACTCCGAGTTCATTGAACCAACTCTAAACAGCTGTTCGGAAATTTACCCTGAGTTTTCCATCTCAGGGTAAATCAACCCAAGAGTTTAGGGTTTTTAAACCTCCTACTTGAAACGGACCCCTGGTGGTTTTAGTTGTGGTAGCAATATTTGTACTGGAAGTTGTGGGAGTATTTGTAGTTTTAGTTGTAGTATTAGTAGTTGCAGTGGTAGTTGCAGAAGAAGTAGTAGTTGTGGAAGTGGTAGTAGTAGTAGCAAAAGTGGTAGAGGTAGCAGTGTTAGTGGTAGTGATGGTAATGAAAGTGGGAGAAGTGGAAGTGGTTGTTGTAGTATTAGTAGTAGTAGTTTACTTAAATGTGTCTTACAGGAGATGAAGAAACTTCCTCACAGGTGGGCCGAGGTGTGATTTCACCTGTTTCAACAAACTTTGTTTTTGCCTGGGGTTTGTTGGCGGGGTTAACAGTGGATGAGTCCACTGGAGACCACGCTCAGTGTAAGCAGGTAAAGGTGTGAGCTCAGGGAGGAGGAGGCCTCAGCCTTGTTGAGGCAACCACTCTTCTTCAGACAGACCTGGTTCTCACAGAATGCACCTGCAAATACAACATCAGACACCTGAGGTGTGACATCATCAGTCCCCGCCCACATTACCGGAGCTGCTACGTCATCCAGGTTTGTTACCTGTAAAGCCGTCCAGACAGACGCAGCGCTGGAGGTTGACGCAGGTTCCACCATTCTGACAAATCAAATCCTCCTCATCACACATGTTAACTGAGGGACAAGAATGATTTATTATTAATAATGTTATTGATTACAAAGTTTGGTTCTGCCCTCATCCAGAGGGATGGCTGAAGCCCTCTGTACCTGTGCAGCTGGCTCCGCCTCCTCTCCAGGTGTATCCAGGTAAACAGGTGTCACAGCGCCTCCCTGTGGCTCCATCTTTACACTGGCAGAAACCAGAGTCAGAGCAGTGAGGAGAAGCACTGCCGTCCACATCACACTCACAGTCTGAGGACACAGAGATCATCATAATCATCCTCTCATCATTATCACCATCATCATCATCATCACATCATCATAATTATCCTCTCATCATCATCGATACCATAATCATGACCGTCACCATCCTCACCATCAAACTCAACCCCATCATGGTGCCAGAATTCTGGTCGGGGCAATCCAGGAAAATTAATATTTTAAATACTTGGGTGTTCACTTGAACAATAAACTGGACTGGACTCATCACCCTAATAGTGTGTTCACGCCAAACATGTTTTGAAGCGCCTCAAACGCTCTAAACACACTGCATACTCTCGGGGGACCATTTCTAGTCAATTCACAATTGCATCATTCACACTAGATGTAACGGAGAGGGGGTGTGGCCTGAAAACAGTTCAACTTTCCGCCATTTCCGCCCGCGAGTTTTGTCCGCATCAACGATGAAAGACATAGCACCGATGTTCCTGATGTGGAAGTCCTACTCACGTCGGACCGTCGATGCCCTTTTCTGAAAAGGGCATCTGTAGGGGCTGACAGCTTCTACAGGAAGTGCGTCTGGATGCTTCCAGCACTACATGATGCTAGCTGCCTGTTTGAACTTGTTAGCTCGAATCGGGGACCGGAGTTCATCACCTGGACATACTTCTCTGTCGAGGGAACTGTCCCATGGAGAGGCACCGTGAGCTCAAGCATATCCAAAAGGCTCTTTAAGGGCCACACACATGTTATTATTGAACAAACGTCCTGCGTTATTACCTAATATAGAGTAGCAGTGTGTCCTTTAACAATGATCCTACACTATAATGTACTATATCCAGTGCACTGATGAGATGTTATACTGGGGACATGTCCCCTACTCTTTTTCAAAAGCCTGTTTTGGTCCCCTGCTGTTTTTGCCGTCCAAAAACAATGTTACGCTATGGTAAACAAAGACCTGTCAAGCACTAGGACCAAGTGGAAAAACGGCCGCTCAAGCTGAAGCCTGTTTCCCTTAGTTTAGACCGCCCACAAGCTCCTCGATTGGCTCTGCTTGTGTGATTGGCCGTCCCCGCTGTCACTTCATCAGGTTGTAAACCGGTCTGCTAGTTGCAGAGGACTCGAGGAGTCCCTGTTACTCTGCCACTGTAAGTTGGGCGTTTGTTTTGCCTAGGTCACGTCAGCTAGAAGGATTGTGTAACCCCTGGTTACTGGAAATATTCTCTGTCACAAGTAGCCCTGTAACTGAAAAAAGCAAAAAGTGCAAAAAAGCACTATAATGGAAAACGGATTCCCTTTCAACAGAAGAGTTCAACTCTTAAATCCCTAACGCCATGCCAAACCGCCGTGCCAACCGTTGACGTCATCACGCAAAAAAACACGTCGAAACGTCAGCAATCCAGTTAAAGATACACTACACACAAATCACCCACCAGTAGCAACTCATGGCACCGGATTTCCCTCCGTCTTACCGATGAAATACCCCCAGATGATCGAAGTCTCACCTTGGTCTGCCCACACTCTTTTTCACCATGACTGTTTGTCAAAAAACATTATTCTTCCTTGTCTTGCTTGCAGTTAAACATAACCCACCCATGCTAGTTGGAGCCATCAGCACCGAGATGCCAGCCCACAGCGATAATCCTCAGCATTTACACAATAACTAAATTTCCAGTATTTACATAACGCAACAATGTCACACAAAGGCAACTTAACACTGTCAAGAGTGCAACACTGTCAAGCAACTGCTGTACCAACTACAACAGTTTCCCCCACGACAACAGCAGCCCCAACAACAACAGCTGCACCGACAACTACTGCTACCGCGACAACTACTGCCACGCCAACAACAACCTCAGCAACAACTGCTTCTCCAACAATAACTGCTGCACCAACTACAACAGCAGCCCCAACAACAACTTCTGCACCAACTACAAGCAATCCAGCGCTGTCAAGAATGCAACGCAACGAGGCAGTCCCTCTCTACTTCAGATGAGAGACGTTTTTGGTCTTCCTCAGGCTCCGAATTCATAGACGGCATCTGGTATGGTCCGAATGGTAATCCATGCTTACCTAAACATTTCTTCCCTCACTATGCGAAATTGACTCATGGGTTAGACCATGTGTCAAAAGGGGGAATGTTAAGTATCATTGATGCAACTGATGGCACTGGGATGCTGTCGTACATATTGCGCAGATCCTCATCGATGGACTTAAAAGTTTCCACCTGGGACTTGCCACTCAACCATCCACCCCTTCAGTCAGCCTTGAAAGAACCAGAATCAGTCGACCAGCTCCATGCTCCAGCTCCTCACCAAGGTAGTAAAAGAAGGTTTCATGATCGGCACATCCACACAACTACACAACCAAATGAAAACCAACCGATCAGGCCAACCGACACCTGTTTTTACTTCGAGATACAGTCACCCGTGAATCCTTTTGAAACCCTTTCCATGTACTTGCAGCTTCGACAATCCTCGCTGCATTTATTCGGATCTCAAAGATCTTCAAGCCGCTCTATCACACCTCACATAATGGGAGTCTTTTGTTACCCACAACCCAACCCGACCGACCTGACGAAATCATCATCATCAATCAATCAATTACACGTAAACGCCTTCAGTGGATGGCGTGGTCCTTGCTAGTGAATTGAAGATAATTAGCGTATTTCAGGAGCAGGACCTCTTGTCCAACACGCCCCTTCCTGTATTTCCATAAATACAGCTCAACCAGTGGATTGAATCTGAACACATTTTAACAATTGCCCTATGCTCTGGCCCGCATGGCCTAGATAAACATTTAGCCAGGCAGGTCCATGCCCAAAGCACCAGCAGGTGGTGTCTTTTTTAATCTAATCATCATTACCCTCATCCTCCTCACCATCATCCTGATTATCATGATCAATCTTCATCATCATCGCACATCATCCGGATCATCATCATCCTCACCATCCCCATCATCCCTCATCATCACATCCATTATCATCATACTGTGTATTGTGTGTGTGTGTGTCACTGACCGACACAAACGTTCTCGTCGTCCAGAGACAGCAGGGCGTTGCTATAGTAACCAAGGCGACAGAACTGACAGTTCTGTCCTCGTGTGTTGTGTTTACAGCTGACACATGTGACCACGTTGATGAAGTCAATGTAGCTGCAGCGGTTGGAGTGACCGTTACACTCACAGTCTGACGGAAACACAAGAAACACAAGGAAAGGTGAGAGGAAAGAGGGTGTTTGAGGGTGACTCATAGACAGGTGGGACGACAGACATGTGGCACACAGACCGGTGATTTACAGATAGGTGACACGGACGGTGACTCAGAATGAGAGGACAGACATATGACTCACAGATAGGTCACACACACACTGGTGACTGACAGACAGGTGAGAGGACAGAGAGGTGACACAGAGACCAGAGGAGCTACCGAGGTGGGATGGCACTAGCTTGTAGACTTGCAGGAGGGAGTTATTGTAGTGAATTCACTTTGGTTACAATGTGAGATGAGAACAAGACACGGCCTGATGCCTCCCCCACATGTTTGTCAGTCACCTTTCTGTCTGTCATCAGTCCACTCCACCACTGATAACAGGTATTCTTGCTTACTGTCTGATAGAGGGGGAGGTGAATAAGGACAGTCGAAGGACAGGTATAGGTCAGATCCTCAGAGGTGGTCTTACCCTGAAAGGTCACGTAGGCAATTTTGGACAGCTGGCTGAACTTTGGCCCTCCTGGAATCAAAATCTTCTGGGTCGCTTGGGAATAGAACAATGTGTATAATCATGGTAACGGACTACTGTTACTTCTACTACTACTACTACTACTTCTAGTTTTACTAATTCTAATTCTACTACTTCTACAACTACTACTACTACGAGTACTGACACAACTTCTAAAACTACTCCTACTACTACTGCTACTATTACTGCTACTACTACTAATAATAATTATAAATATAATACTGTTACTGCCACAGTTGAGCTTTACTATGTATAAATAGTGATATAATGTTATTATATATCACTTATATATATCATAAATGTAAAGTAAAAAAATAAGAACTGAGCAGAGGAATTCCTCCACGTGTAGGCTACTTCCTGCAGAGGATCACCACTGTGTCCCTAAAAAGACATTGGTTTGGAAACGTCCTGGCTTAATGTCGGGACATTGTTGGCTCTTCAAACACGTCAAATGACAGTTGAGAGCAAAGTCCACGAGAACAACAGGAAGAGTCGCTAGTTCAACATGTTCCACCTCCAAGATGATCACATGTGTGGAGTTTGTGTTGAAAAAATTACAAATAAACAGCAGTGTCTAAAATACTTCTAAAATGAGTACTTGTTAATTTATAAGATTTTGTCTTAGAACAATAACAAACTTTTATCCTCGATTAATGCATTTCAAAATAATTAGTCTTTTTTTTAATTAATTGACAGCCCTCAGTATAATCAGTGTAATCATCAAATATAAAAGCAGAGCCGTCTGCCACTGCCAGGGCATTAACGTTTAATCTATTTTGTTTTTGCGAGACAAGTTACAATATAACAGGCACCTTCCTACAGCAAGTTAACTTTTAAATATGTTTTCCTTTTTTTTCTTGAACAGGTTAACTGTCTCGAGATTTAAAATGATAATGTCCATTAAAGACTTTGATACCTTTTTAAAATGTCTCTGTTCCCGCCAGTTGGTTCATCTGAGCTTGAAGAGCAGTGTTAAGCCTACTCCCGAAATGCTGTTAAGGACGGTTAAGACGTGTGGTGACGCCCTACTTCGCCCAACATCTCACCTTCATTGTGTCCCATGGTGTGTGTTTTATGTGTTCACAGCCAGTGAGCAATGCAGTTTCAAAGTAATAATCATTTTAAAAACTGTGTTGATGCAGAATAAAATAATTTGCGGTTAATTAATGAGTTAATGTGTTGTGCCCAGCCATAATCATCACATCTTGTATATATGCTATACATATTATAACTGCATATTTACATATGTAAAAACTGACCTAATGTTTCACATGAAGAATAGTGTGCTGAAGGTCAGTAAAGCTCACTTTTAGGACTGGTGACACATGTTGTACCTTTTTTGCCGTATCCTTTCTCCTCTTTCTTTCCTTCTTTACTTTCCTCTTTCGCCTTCTTCTTGTCTTTACTTTCCTCTTTCTCCTTAGTGACTGTTTGGTCCAACAGAGAAGGACACTTTTAAACAGAGTTCATTTGAGTATAGTTTGATTTGTTCAACATGTGAAGATGATGATCAATAATCTGATAAAACTTGAGATCTACATAGTTGATCCATTATGACTCTAGTTTGTTATTGTTGGTTCTTCATGTTTAACATCCTTGCCTGCTTTTCAACTTGCAGTTAGATCAGGAGAATGCGGTAAATAAAACATACTCTAAGTAACATATTCTCAGGTCTATGTGTTCTAAAGATAGATATACTGTATATATCTATATCTTTAGATATAGATATATACATATAATACTATATATAGAGGTATATATTGATATAAAATATATATCAGTGCACCTTTCTCTTCTTCCTTTTCATCCGACTCTGAACCTTCTGCCGGTCCACTGGCAGCTGTTTCTTCTCCAGGAAACGTTCCTTCTATCTGAGCTGCAGTAGAACCTTCTATCTGAGCTGCAGTAGAATTGACTCCTTGATCATCTACTGCTGGACGGGAATCCGGTAGAGAATCTAGACCAGCACTTGTAGTGATTGGTGATTCCATTTCACCATTTACTACTTTCTCTGTATATGTCCCATCTGTCTCTTCTGAGACAGAATCCAGTCCAGAAATAGATTTACCAGAATCAAATGGCAAGATTTCAGGCTGTGGTCCTGCATCTGGCACAGCGTCACCTGAATCTGGACCATCTCGAAAAGGGAATCGGAAGTCAACCGGAGCCCAATCCCCAGAAGGCTTTGACTGATCTAAGGAGGGGGTGCTCATGTCGGGTATGGCATCACCTCCTCCTTCAGGAGGAGACAATAAGAATTCTGCAGGAGCATCTGGAGGTGGTGAATTTGGAAGAGGTCCATATGGACGAGGTCCATCCAGTGGAGGTTGTTTTTCAGTAGGAAGTATATCTGGAGGACCTTCATCACCAGAAGGTACATCCAGAGGAGGTACATCTGAGGGACATTTGTCCGAAGGAGGTATATCTAGAAGACATTCATCAGGAGGCGGTACATCCAAAGGAGGTTCATTTGGAGGACGTTCATCTGGGGGAGCTGAATCCGCAGGACGTTCATCAGAGGGAGGTATAGCTGAAGTACTTTCCTCAGGAAGAGGTATATCTGGGGGAGGTACATCAGGGTAAGGTATATCTGGAGAAGGTACATCTGGAGGAAGTGCATTAGGAGGAGGAGATACATTTGGGGGAGGTACATCTGGGGAGGTTAGATCAGGGGAAGGTAAATATGGAGGTGCATCAGAGGAAGGTATATCTGGAGGTGGTAAATCAGGAGGAGGTTCATCAGAGGAAGGTGCATCTGGCGGAGGTAAATCAAAGGAAGGTTTGTTTGGAGGAACTGCAACAGAGGAAGATATGTCTGGAGGAGGTGCATCTGAAGAAGTTACATTCTCAGGAGGAGATTCTGAAGGGGGTACATTGAGAAGAGGTATTTCTGGCAGAGGAATATTAGATTGAGATTCTTCAGGTGAACGAAGATTGAAAGCTGGTGCTTCCAGTGGAATATCAGTACGAGGTAAATCAAGAGGTGCTACATCAGCAGAAGGTATATCAGTCACAGTTTCTGAAAAAATATCAGGCGAAGCAGTGTCAGCTCCTGTAGTGGGTGGAGTATCTTTGGCAGCCCTGTCACTGGCCTGGGTTATTTCTGAGATGCTTGTTGTTGGTGTTCCAGCAGATGTTGTAGACCTCTCATCAGGTGAGGTAGTGCTGCTGATCAAGTTGGTAGTCCCAGTCCCAGAGAGAGTGAAGTCTTTGTTGTCTGCTGAGTTGGTGGAGTCAGAGGACGTAGTCACTGGGTCAGAAATAGACACCTCAGAGTCAGTACCGAGGCCTGGGATAGTGGGGCTGTTAGTACTGGTGGAACTGGAGGTGCTAATACTGGTACAGGGAGCAGTGTTTCCATTATCCAGAGCTGGACTGCTGGATGAAGCTATCTCCACTGTAGGTTTTGTTGTACTGCTCAAGTCAGGAAATGCATCCGATTCTGCTTTAATAAAGTCCCCAGTATCACTTGTACTAATGCGGTAATCTTCAGAACTCATAACAGTTGTGATGGTGTTGATAGTAAGATCATTGTCCGGGTCAATTACATTGGTATAACTCGTAGGACTTCCTTCTTCTGCAAAAATACTGTCAGTTGGAGTAGAAACACTGACAGCATCACAATTCAACATGTATGTAAAAACTGGTGTGAGGTCAGTACTAGTAGTGCCAGTAGGTGTGGCATATTCTGTAATAGTAGTACTAGTACTGTCAATAGGGGTGGTAAAATCAGTTACAGTGGTAATAGTATTGTCAGTAAGGGTGCGATATTCATTTGTAGTAGTAGTAGTACTGTCAGTAGGGGTGGTATATTTAGTTATAGTGGAAGTACTGTCAGTATATGTGGTATATTCAGGTATAGTAGTAGTACTGTCAATAAAGATGGTATATTCAGTTATAGTAGTAGTACTGTCAGTATATTCAGTTGTAGTCGTAGTACTGTCAGTATATTCAGTTGTAGTAGTAGTACTGTCAGTAGGGGTGGTATATTCAGCTGTAGTAGTTGTACTGTCAGTTATCCATGTGTATTCAGTTATAGGGATTATATCACGTAGATTAGCGTCAGTCGTAATAGTGTATAAAGATATGATACCCTGAGTAGTAGCGCTAGTAGAAGTTTTAGTAGAAGTGGTGGTAGTAGTAATGGTAGTAGCAGTCGTGTCAGTCACTCCATCAGATGAGTCAGAGTCACCAGCCGCTGTCAGAGAAGAAGAGTTAAGTCTCTTTAGTAAATCTCAGATTTCAACCTGCTAAACATTGTACTTATATATTTTACATTGTTTTACAAACGATTACCTTTACTACAATGTGAAAAGAAGTAAACCCCCACTGAGACATCATACCAGCAGGAGACCTCAACATAAACCAAGTATTCTGAGACCAGTTACTTCTGATCACTCAGTCGGGTTGGTTGATGGTGAAAACAGAAAGTGAGCTAATAGTTCTTCCTGCCAATAAGTTTGCATGTGTCCTCACTCACATAACTGGGATCTTTTAAGACAAATCCAATACGTGTTGACAAACAGAACCTTTGGATTGTAGCGTGAGTTGTGAGTTAGAACAGTGACATAACTCTATTACCTTCATGTCTAATCATCAGTTTTGTTTCACAGACTTGTGTGTCTGTGACCCATGTATGTGATGTCTGTAAGCAGTGTGGACCAGATATGTACTATGAACAAAGATATCTAAGTGTGAGTATGTATACACACACTGTGCTCCCTCCCTTTAACCCCACAACACACCTAAATGTAAAGCCCTCTGAAGGAAAAATTCAAGCAGCTGATTTTTTAACAACATCAAAGAGAGAGACTCTGAGTGTATATGTTTCATTGACTGTTCTCCCGTTTTGGTTTCAGGCTCATCAGCTTCTTGTTGGATTCGTTCTACAATAAATCTGACCTGAGATCAGCTGGGTTTGGAACTGCTGGACCCATGTTTAAAGTGTTAGGATTGCGTGTGTCTGTATGTGTATACGTCAAATTCTATCTATGTCTAACATACTTAGCAATAAATATTCCCGATTCCTCACCTTTAATTAACTCACTTAATTAAAGGTGAAATAGTATTGAAGATACTATTTTATGTTTTATACCAAAGCTCTTTACCATATTTTATTTTACTGTAGTTGTTGTTCAATATAATAATGTACTTTTACATTGCAACACTTAACACGCAAGTGAAGGAAGAGGGATATGGAATGAAACGTGACAAACAGGTGAACAGTACTTACTGGATGTTGTTTCTGCTGCCTCACCTGAAAATGAGAAACATGTTAGAGTGTTTATTTGTGTGACATCCAGCGACTGATCTCTGAGAATATGTGGACGGTCAGTAACTACAGTTGTGCGTGTGTGATGGTACGTACAGGTGTTAGTAATACATTTTTATGGTATTTAAAGGTGTTAGTTTTAATGTATGTGATGGTACTTACAGGTGTTGGCAGTTCCTTTGGGCAAGGGCAGGTATGATCCTGGTCTCCAGCTGCGGGATTTGAACCCCTGGTTGCAGAGCTGACAGTCTTGTCCACTTGTGTTGTGGTCGCATTCACACTGCAGCGTCGCATCACGTAATACACACTGAGCTGCATGCAGGTTGCACTTACACCTAAATGAAACACAAACACAGGTGTTTGTCGAGGTTCTCACTGGGGGACCCTGTTACCTGTGGAGCTGCTTGTCGGCCGCTGTTGATACCTGGCAGGTACATCGATGTTAGAGATGGCATAAAAGTATTTCAGCAGGTTGTCTCTTTGGACGTAGGTGCCTCCCAGTGCCGGGCGGAGAAGTCTCAGGCGGAGGTTGGTGAAGGTGAAGAAGTCTCTCAGACCCTTCATGGTCTCCATCCGGAGGTACAGGGCATCCATGTTGATCAACTTTGGACCTGCGAACACCCCGAACCGAGCGCGCACCTCGAAAACCATGTTTTTCTCCTCCTGTTGGTGGAGTCCTAATGGTCAATTGTCATGTTTTTCCACATTGCTTAAGGGCCAACATTGCTTAATGATCAATTTATTTTCTAATTGTTCAGATAATTTAAATATCAGTAAATATGAATTGAGGTGTATGTGGATGGATTTTACCTATACCACAGTGTGTATCATCAGTGTTTCCTGTTTCCTGTATGACCAGTGTCAGGACCAGTTACCTACCTTGGCTCCGACCCAGCGGGAGTACTGCTCGGTACAGATGATCCGCGTCAAGTTACTCGGTGCTAAATCTGAGACCCGTTTAGGAGACATGCCAAACACCTCCAGACAGTCGTCAGCATAGTACTGATATGGCTGCCACGTTACACCTGTAACAAAAACACTGACAGTTATGTGAGTGTTAATCACTTATTGCTAGGTTTATGTTACATTAGTACCAACGCGTTCATGCTTTGGCTCTTTACTTAACTTAATCGTCACATTTTGATTTGCCGTCCCGCATTGCTCAGTACTGGACCTAGTACTTCTGTCTGGTTTGTGTTCTCAGATCCTTCACTTAAAGTCGAAATATGGAACCAAACTTATTTTTACAATATTTTACATACCAGGTAGTAGTACACAATATTAAAAGTGTTTGGAGGGTGCATGGCAGTACTCATGCTAGCCACACTGTTCAACACCCGTCAGTCGTAAATCCTAGCCCTCTTTTTTGAAGGGCAGCTTTAGCCAACAGAAGTAGGAACCTTAGAGTAAACTTTTACTGTGAAAGTTTACAAAATACAAATTATATTTCAAATGTCGCTGCAGTTTTCATTCATACAGGTCACACGTTAGCAACAGCTTTCCAACTTGAACCATTCACCTTTGTCCATAGACTTCTCCAATACCATGGCCGTGGGTCGGCCATACTCGAAGCTAACAATGATGTCATCGACCACCTCCAGGCTCTTGTTCCAGGACAGAGTGATGTTGGCCAATAGGGGCTCAGGATACCTCGTCCATGTGACTGTCTGCCAATAGGTGATGAGCCCCCCCCTCTCCCTGTCTCCCATCAGCTGAGGGGGGTGAGACAGGTCGGGGCTGGAAGCATCACACTCATCGCTGCACAGATACGGGTTCTCCTGCAGAAAGACAAACACACAGTCAGATGGGAGGAGCAGGAGAGTTTCTGTGAAGTCACGAGAAGCAAATTCTAGGTTCTAGCTTAAAATGACACAGTTTGTCTATCTGAACTGATTATTTCCGTTACTTACATGAAAAACTAATTAGGGCTGCAATTTACGATTATTTTGATAATCTGTTGACTTTTTTAAAATTAATCGATGAATCGGATTACAAAAAAACAAAAAAATTGGATTAATTTCAAACACTTTATTCAATAACAAAACTGACAAAAGATGTTCAGCAAGTAAAGGAAAAAAATGGACTAACACAAAGAAAAATACACAAGCATGCTTTACACCCACCAAATATATAGGCCTTTTAAAATAAAGTGTTATATCTGATGGTGAATATATCTGATGGTGGTTATATCTGAGGATGTCACACGTATACAGAATGTAAAGCCCTCTGAGACAAATTTGTAATTTGCAATTTTGCAATTTTGGTTGTTTGTGAAAAAGAAGTTGGAAGGTGGGGGGGTAGTGTCCTGTAGATTGTTGTAGTGAGGTGTTATGTGTGTGTTAATCTAATTAGAGTTTTAGAGGTTAAACATGTGACTTAAGCTTCAGCAGCCAGCTGTCACACTGAAGATAATCAGTAAACTCAACAAGATTAAAGTTCCATCTTGTTAAGTTGATTAAACTAGAAACTAACCAACAAACTCTGTTACTGTTTCATTTCTACTATTCAACTATTTACATATTTACTATGTACTACAGGGTACTATGGTACCCACAGGTACATAGTATGTATGGGAGAAAAGGGGGTGGTTCTCACAAGTTTGTTGTCACATTCATTATATCTCTCCACCAGAAGGTGATTGTTTTCTCAAATGTTGGTATGAAATTGTCCGTAATTAAATTTAGTTACATTCCATTTGGCGTTGATTGTCACATTCTCTTTGGGGTTGGTTGTCACATGGGACCCTATCAAACTGTTGCTTTAAACAGTGTGCACACAAGCTCTGCTTAGGGGGACTGTGCAGACCTTACATTTGTCATCACTGTAACTCGGATAGCGAATGTGTAGAGCCCGGTTGAGTAGGCTATCAATGTGAGGGCATATTTGTTTGGTTCTTAATATTCTTATTTATCGTTGCCTAAAGATGTGTTTCATGTCTATGTTTCTTTCTAATTTTGTGTTAATAAGTATTAAGTTATTTGTCAACGTATTAATGCAATTTAACTTTAACATTTAGTTCTACCGTCTATGTTTCTTTTTTTAAGTTTCTACTATTGAAATAACATTGTGACAACCAACCCTGTGATGTACTACCGTGTAGTACTACGGACTAACGTAATAATATTTACTACAATGTCATAACATGTACTAAACTGTAGTGATATGTACCACAGTGTAGGATATAGTACTGCCATTTTATAATATATTGCCGGTGTACATTTTTCAACACATATTTATATAATTACGGCTGCATTTGATTACGTTCTCATTAATTACACAGAAGGAGTTTTAGTTAATGTATCAGGGGCCACCATGGGAACATGTTGAACTTCATCTTGCACTGTATTTTCGTTTGATATTATTTTTATATGTTATATTCTTCTCTAGTCATTTGTAAATGTAATTGTACATTTAATATGTTTCATATTCATATTTCATCCATATTTCTTCCACTGTGTAAATTTCTGTCCAACATACTTGGCAAATAAATGGTTCTGATTCCGATTCTTTGAATGTTTCATGTATTTTATGGTTATTTTTTGTTTTGAAGGAATTAAACTGATCAATTATTAACGTATCATTTTTGCTTCATTACATCTTTTACATTTATCAATAATTCAGATACGAATTCAGCTACCCAAAGGATCAATTAGACAGACGAAGCGTGTGGCTTCCAACCTGTGGGTCAGGACCCCCCAGGTGGTCTCAAGGGGAATCTGAGGGGTAATGAAATCATTGACAAGTGAGTCGAGAGAAGACAGATTTAAATGAAATTTTAAGATCAGATAAAATAACGTTAATTTCGGAGTCTGATTAATTCTTGATTAAATATTATGATATTACCGTCTGACAAGAGAAAAAGTAGAGACATTTCTATTAATATTATTATCATCAATATCACTATTCCCTGCTGTCAAAGATGCACATACACATGGAGTTGTTCTTTTGTTGCAGTGAAACCACAAGTCTGGATTCATCTATGTTCTTCAATAAAATCACTTCTGCAGTTATTTCAATCAAAACTACAATCTCTTCATAAACCTAAATGATAAGTTTGGTTTCTCAAACCTAACTTTTGTTTCCTCTAAAGTTTATTTTGAGAGGTTGTTGTGTGGAAGAAGTTTCCTGGTTCTTTTGCCAGAATTGCCCTGGTATCCAGCAGCACCGTCAGCGCAGAGTTCTCTTCAATCAGGATATGTCCTTTAACTCTCAGATAAAGAGGGATAACTTTAGGGACTGCTTTTTTCATCTACGTAATATATCAAAAATCAGGAACTTTCTGTCTCAAACGTAATGTGTTTGTTACTTCTAAACTGGATTACTGCAATTCTTTGTGATCAGGCTGGGATCATAATCCTTCTGTATTAACTTCTCTGCACTGGCTCCCTGTTAAATTAAGAATAGAATCTAAGGTTCTTCTCCTCACCTACAAGGCACTTGCTGGTGAGGCACCGTCGTATCTTAAAGAGCTTGTAACACCTTATTGCCCTACAAGGCAGCTGCGCTCAATAGATTCTGGTTACTTGTTGTTCCTGTGGTTATAAAAAGTAGGATGGGGGCCAGAGCCTTCAGTTATCAAGCTCCTCTTTTGTGGAACCAGCTTCCACTTTCAGTCTGGGGGGCAGATTCTGTCAGCTCTTTTAAGATAAAGCTTAATACTTTCCTCCTTGATAGTAGTTAGTTATAGTAGTCATCGCTTATAGGGGAGCAGGTCTCCGTAAATCGTAGTTCCTTCTGGATGCTGGTCCTGACACCTGCCGTGGCCCTGCTGACACCTGCTGCTGCATCATCATCATCATCATTATTATTTTAAATATTAATCATATTACTATTCCTGTCATCATAAACCAACATTACCCTCTCCTAAAGTCTGTGCTTTCCCTCCCCACAGGCTTCTGTGGATGGTGGTTCTATCTGATGGTGGTTCTATGTGATGGTGGTTCTATCTGATGGTGGTTGTCCCTCCAGTGGTTCTGCCGTACACCGGGCTTACTACTCGCAATTATTTGAATCACTTCTGTTATCGTAATTGAATGTGTTATACATTGTTCATTCTGTACACATGTAGTCTGTCCATCCCGGGAGTTGGATCTCTCCTCCAACGTTCTCCCTAAGGTTTCTCCTCTTTTTTCCCTATGGAAGGGTTCTTTATTATTATATATTTTTTTAGTTTTTCCTGTGCCGAAGTGAGGGCTTTGGGACAGAGGATGGCGTATGTGTACAGACCGTAAAGCCCTCTGATGCAAATTTGTAATTTGCGATTTTGGTCTATACAAAATAAAGGGAAATTATTCGAAACCAGTTTGAAATGATATGAGCTTTGTGACATGGTACAGATGGTACACTGTGGTCATAAAGGGATGGACATGGTCACCATTTAAACTATGCTCAAAGGGTACTAAGGGGCCCAAAGTGAAAATATTCCTCACACCATCACACCACCACCACCAGCCTGAACCGTTGGTACAAGGCAGGATGAATCCATGGTTTTGTGGTGTTTACACCAAATTCTGACCGTACTGTCACGGTGTGGTTCACTTCATGTTATATTTTGTAGTTTTCTGCCACTCGTGCCCCCGGGTAACTTCACTTCCTGCCTTGTCATGTCATCCCCTGTGATCGTCTTAATAGTTTCCACCTGTGTCCAATTACCTGCACCTCCCCTAGTGTATTTAAACCATGTGTGTCTGTTGTCACTTGTCGCGTCATTGTCTTTCGCCACGCTTGTTCTTGTCTATCGTTATGGATGTCTGCAGTTTCTTGCCTGTGAGTTTTTCCCCTGGTTCCTGTGGTTTTTGGCCTTTTGACTAATAAAGTCTTTTGTTTTTCGGAGAAGTCAGCATTTGAGTCCTGCCTTCCACCCGCACCCCTGACAGAATGACGCGACCATGGGACTCAGCAGACCCGCTGCCAGACTACGGTCCGGACTACTTGGACGTAAGAAGTCCCTTCTGGCAGCGGAAAACAAATTTTGTTTTTGGTCCCAGGAGCTATCAGCTCGCCTGCCTCGAGCTCCGGGACATCCTTAACCCAAGGAGGAGCAAGCGGAAGAAGCGATCTCCCGTTCCTGCTGGGCCGCTGCAGTTCCGTGTCCCCGAGCTACCGCCGACTACTGCTGACGTGTTCCGTGTCCCCGAGCCGGAACCGCCGCCGACTACTGCTGACGTGTTCCGTGTCCCCGAGCCGGAACCGCCGCCGACTACTGTTGACGTGTTCCGTGTCCCCTTGCTGGAGCCGCCGCCGACTACTGCTGACGTGTTCCGTGTCCCCTTGCTGAGCCGCCGACTACTGCGGACGTGTTCCGTGTCCCCGAACTGGAGCCGCCGCCGACTACCTCGGAGGTTTCCCGAGCCGCCGCCGACTACCTCGGAGGTTTCCCGAGCCGCCGCCGACTACCCCGGAGGTGTCCCCGAGCCGCCGCCGACTACCCCGGAGGTGTCCCCGAGCCGCCGCCGACTACCCCGGAGGTGTCCCCGAGCCGCCGCCGACTACCCCGGAGGTGTCCCCGAGCCGCCGCCGACTACCCCGGAGGTGTCCCCGAGCCGCCGCCGACTACCCCGGAGGTGTCCCCGAGCCGCCGCCGACTACCCCGGAGGTGTCCCCGAGCCGCCGCCGACTACCCCGGAGGTGTCCCCGAGCCGCCGCCGACTACCCCGGAGGTGTCCCCGAGCCGCCGCCGACTACCTCGGAGGTTTCCCGTGTCCCTGAGCCGCCGACGACCCCCCCGGAGGTTTCCAGTGTCCCCGAGCCTGCCATGCCAGAGACGTTCCGGAGCCGGCCAAATGACTCTCCGCCGGGCCGACCACCGGAGGCTCCCATGTGTGTGTCTGTTGTCACTTGTCGCGTCATTGTCTTTCGCCACGCTTGTTCTTGTCTATCGTCATGGATGTCTACAGTTTCTTGCCTGTGAGTTTTTCCTGTGGTTTTTGACTAATAGTCTTTTGTTTTTCGGAGAAGTCTGCATTTGAATCCTGCCTTCCACCCGCACCCCTGACACCGTACCGTCTGAATGTCGCAGCTGAAACTGAGACGCATCAGACCAGGCAGCGTTTTCCCAATCTTCCATTGTTGATTTTGGTGAGCCTTTGCAAATTGTAGTCTCAGTTTCCTAACGTATTTTACATCTTTTAGACACTGAGATGTGTGTGTTCAGGTGTTTGTGCTCAGGTTTGTTCAAGTGTGTGTGTGTGTGCATGACTAACCAGAGTACAGAATCTCTCAGGTGGGTTGCCACACGTGACACCAGGGGGGTCGACTCTGATCTGCATCACTTCCTTCATGTTGACAGTTGAAGGCTGGCAGCTATAAAACTCCCATCCTGGCCCCGCCTCCGAGCTGCGCAGAGAGCGACACACGTCAAATTGACACTGGCCCAATGCCAGCATGACGAGGAGGGCGAGGAGTCTCTGGAGTAGACAGGAGGGGACGAGGGACATGGTGGAGTCAGACAAAAAGCTAGGTTGTCTGGAAGTCACATCCCAAATTCACCGCCCACATTTCTGGTGGGCATCTCAGGTTCAGTGTCCGACCTTCTTCCAAAAGGACGTGGTTATCATGGTTATAATCTACCATCCAGGTAATGGTTCACACCTGAAGTCTTCAGATAGCCAACCGCCAGTCTGCAAACAGAAAACAATCAGACATCAAAGACAAAGAAACAATGAGACCTGGTCCCACCCGGTCTGCTTGACTTTTGTCAATGTTTGTTTGTTTTTGTTTGAACTAATAACAATTATTATTACACTGGGACTCAGACTTTGTCCTCTTAATCAAATAACCTTCATCAACCCAAATACTGCACTCTCCTTCTTCATCCATCCAAATTCTACACCATGTCTTGCATCAGATTCTAGCACCGTAATCCTTCACCTTACTTTTACATTCATCTATCCTGATCTTATATCTGTCTGTCTCTCCACCTTTCTCTTTCCTATGTGTGTCTCTCTCTCTCTCTCCATTTGTCTGTCTCTTTGGTTCTGTATTACGTACCTCTTAAAACTGTAATCGGTCTCTGTAGTTTGTTTCTTCAGGAGGATTCTTGATAAGCTGATTAAATATCCAACGCAAAGCTTCCACGTCTTTTTAGTAATGTTCTTCCACTCTTTTCTCGTGTGTCTGATCTGCTTCTTCTTCTTCTTCTTAGTTTGAACCCTTTTCGCTTAAACTCCTCCTGCTCTTCCTTCTTCCCCCTCTTCTTTACTGGTAAACCTCTCAGAGCTCAACTGACTCTACCCCCTCTTATCTCTGTGTGTCTCTCTCTCTCTCTGAGTGAAGGAGTGTTGAGCGTACAGAGGGTGGAGCTGAGAGCAATATAGCGTTTTTTTCATGTACTGTTGGATGTGGAGAATATAGAGGGTTGTGGTTTAGGAGTGTGTTGGTGTTTGTGTGGACTTGTTTGGGGTTTAGTATTCCTGCAGTGTTTTGTATTCCTATGCAAAATAAAATCAGCTTGCGCTAGTCGGCATGCTAAGTGCCACTATGGACCTTACCCGAGTAACGAGGAGGCGCGGCATTAAGGTCTTTTCTTGCTCCGGGGGGACTGCAGCCTGGCCGTGGAGGAGATGGCCGGCCATGGGGACGTAAAGTCCACTCTGCGGATGAACGGGGCTGCTATCATATTTTTGGATACTGTGGACAGTGTGGACCCATGGGCCGAGGTTTGTGGTGGAAGGGGCATTATGTTTTATCACAGGTGTATCTGCAGGTGTAACCATTCTTTTCTCACCTGGACTGGATATGGACATCATCTCCACCACGGAGATAGTGTATGGCAGGGCTGCAATTGGCAAAGCAACACTACAGAACATTTCTTTTGTTTTTATTTTTGTCTATGCTCCCAACCAGGGCTTACACAGGACAGACATCTTCAACAGACTTGGAGAGTATGTGGTGATGGAAGGGGACTAGAACCGCACACTGGATTCCTTGTTAGATCGGACAGGAGAGGAACCTCACACAATATTATCTGCCACCTTGTCACAGGTGATTGCAGAATCAGGTGTGGTGGAGACTCGAACATCCCTGGACTAGACAATACACATAGGTGAAGGTGTTAGGTGGCAATGTTAGGGCAGCCAAGTTGGAAAGGGTGTACATGTCTTGGGGTTTTGCAATCGGTTGGTGAGTCACTTTTTCCCAGTGGGATTCACCGACCACTTGGTCACTTTAGACATTCACATCTGACCAACCAGTTCAGTTCCTACTGGCAATTTAATGTTGGGGACGAGAAGCTGACTGCTGCTGTGGGTCAGAAAGCTGCTGACAGACCTCTGTCGAGCCGTGTATTCCGTTGGACCTCATTAGTAACGACTTTCTTCAATAATAGGATTCTGACTATCAAAGAGAAAATTGAAGGTCTCCTGCCTTCAACCAGTGGCATCCTGTCCTCTGATGTAGGAACCTTGGATGCAGCAGTGGGCCCTGGTACCTACTTGGGTGGTTTCTCTTCCATCAACCTTGATCAACTGACTTCTAGAATTTCGAAGTCTAAATCGTCTACTTGTCTCTAAGTCGATCCGACTAAGTTGCTTAATGAAGTTCTTCCGTCCAATGAATCTTTCTTTGTTGACGGGACATGTACCACAGTCCTTCAAGGTAGCTGTAATTAAACTTCTTCTTAAGAAACCTACTATGGCTCCAGATGTGTTGGCTAACTACAGACCTATCTCTAATCTACCCTTCCTCTCTAAGATCCTTGAGAAATCCGCCGCAAATCAATTATGTGACTTTCTACAAAACAATGCTTTGTTCCAGGATTTCCAGTCCGGATTTTGAGCGCATCATAGCACAGAAACAGCACTGGTGAAAATTACAAATGATCTTCTACTTGCGTCGGACCAAGGACTCATCTCTTTTCTTGTCTTGCTGGACCTCAGTGCCGCATTTGACATCATTGTATCCTGTTGCAGAGACTAGAACATTTAACTGGTATTAAAAGAACTGCACTCAGCTGGTTTAAATCCTATTTATCGGATCAATCTCAGTTTGTGCTTATAAACGGTGAATCCTCAAAGACCACCAATGTTGGTCACGGAGTCCCACAAGGTTCTGTACTTGTAACAATCTTATTTACCCCATATGCTTCCTTTGGGCGATCTCATCAGGAAACACCACATAAACTTCCATTGTTATGCAGACGATACCCAACTGTATCTGTCGATCAAGCCAGAAGAGACCGACCAGCTTGTTGGACTTCAAGAATCTCTTTTTTCATCTACGTAATATATTGAAAAATAAGGAACTTCCCGTCTCAAAGTGATGCAGAAAAAATAGTTAATGTGTTTGCTACTTCTAGACTGGATTACTGTAATTCCTTGTTATCAGGCTGCTCTTATAAGCATCTTGAGCCTCTCCAGTTGATTCAGAATGCTGCAATATGTGTATTAACAAGAACTAAGAAAAGGGATCATATTACTCCTGTATTAACTCAAACTTAATCTGTTTGTTACTTCTAGACTGGATTACTGCAATGCTTTGTTATCAGGCTGCTCTTGTAAATCTCTTAAGCCTCTCCAGTTGATTCAGAATGCTGCAGCACGTGTATTAACAAGAACTAAGAAAAGGGATCATATCACTGTATTAACTTCTCTGCACTGGCTCCCTGTTAAATCAAGAATAGATTTTAAGGTACTTCTCCTCACCTACAAGGCAGCTGCTGGTGAGGCACCGTCGTATCTTAAAGAGCTTGTAACACCTTATTGCCCTACAAGGCAGCTGCGCTCCATAGATGCTGGTTACTTGTTTGTAGTTTTAAAAAGTAGGATGGGAGCCAGAGCCTTCAGTTATCAAGCTCCTCTTTTGTGGAATCAGCTTCCACAAGACACACCAAGCTCCTGTCTCACTCTCTCCCTCCACAATAGTCCACGTTGTATTAATGCACATCACTAATTCAGCTTCTTTCCCGGAGTTTTTTTGTGCTTTTTCGCCTTGCAGGTCTTAGATTGTAGTTCCGTCTGGACCCTGGTCCTGCGGACACCTACCGCTTCTGACACCATTGATATTCCCATTTCTATTGCTCTAAACATCACTAACTTTGTTTCTTCAATGGAGTATTTGTGCTTTCTTGTCACACAGGTTTCCATGGATCATGGTTCTATCTGGACCCTCTTCCTGCCGTGGGTCTGCTGACACCTGCAGCTGCTATTATCATCATTATTATTATTATTATTTTAAATATTCATCACATGTACTATTACTGTCATCATAAACCTACTTTACCCTCTCCTAAAGTCTTTGTGCTCTCCCTCCCCACAGGCTTCTGTGGATGGTGGTTCTATCTGATGGTGGTTGTTCCTGCAGTGGTCCTACCGTACACCTGCTTGCTCGCAATTATTTGAATCATTTCCGTTATGGGAATTTAATGTATTATATATATTTTACATTGTTCATTCTGTACACATGACATCCATTGTCCATCAGGAGATGGATCCTCCTCTGACGTTCTCCCTAAGGTTTCTTCCCTTTTTTCCCCATCGAAGGGTTTTTCATTTTTTAGGCAGTTTTTCCTATGTGAGGGTTTCGGGACAGAGGATGTCGCATGTGTACAGACTGTAAAGCAATCTGAGGCAATTTTGCAATTTTGGGCTATACAAACTAAAATTAATTAAATTGAACTGAATCTGGGGTCCGGTTTGTTAAAATTATCTTTGATGAATAGTAATAAAAATACTAGGGCGGCGCGGTGGTGTGGTGGGTAGCACGATCCATGGTATACCCCGTCTCTTGCATGGGGTTGACTGGGATAGTCTCCTGTGACCCTGTGTGCAGGATAAGTGGTGGCTATATGTATAAAGATACTAGACCGTCTCTCTTTATCCCCCTCTCTCTCGTCTCTCTCACAATTGTAACGTCAATTTTTAGTTAACATTTTAGTACTAAATTTAAACGTAAATATTTTTACTATTCAAAATCTTCATAATCTAAATGGACTTTATTTCATTAGGTCATTTGATATGAGACCGATAAATGTATTATTTTGTATGTATTCTAATTCATCCAACCCCATTAAATAATCACTTTCTCTAATCTATTTGACGAGAAATATTCAAATGTGTACGATTTTTTTGTGACATAACAGCAAATGTCGCTTTAAGTGAGGGCGACGCTGTGACGTCATCACCGAGCGCCAACGGCGGCAAACAGAGAAGATGGCGGACTTGGTGAATGTCGGTGTGAATCTAGACGCTTTCTCTCATGCGATCAGCGGCATCCAGGCGCTCCGCTCCAGTGTGACCCGCGTGTTCGAGTCGCTGAAGGATGGCATGAAGAACCGGGCCACCCTGGAGGGTCGAGAGAAGCAGTTTATAGCCGAGTTCCAGGACAATCTGCAGGCAGTCAACAGAGACCTGAAGTGAGTCCGCCACACCAGAATGTTTAATCTATTAAAGACAACCGGACTCATTCAACTGTCCATGAACACTGCAGCTCGTAGTCCCACCAGACCACTTTTAAATATATATATTGGTTTTAAATAGTATAGATTGTGCCCAATTTCAACACACAAACTAAAACAAGTGTAGAGTAGATTTGCCAACCTGCTCTATTAGAAAAGTGCCTGTAAAGTCTGCATTGTGTGTCTGTCTGTGTCCACCTGTCCGTCTCTTAGTGAGTTAGAGCGTCTCAGCGGGCTCGTGGGTCGTCCCTCGGAGTCTCATCCTCTCCACAACAGCGGCCTTCTGAGTCTGGATCCGGTTCAGGACAAAACACCTTTGTACTCTCAGCTGCTTCAAGCCTACAAGTGGTCCAACAAGGTAAACCGGCTAATGTGTTATTAATATCTATAGTGACCACAACTGTTAATATTATCATGACGATGAAATCAACTATGAATAAATAGTTTTGAGTCACAGATTGGAACCATATTTTTACCTGAGCATCACTAACCTAAAACATGTTAACAGACAATAAGTCAGCTCTACTTTCTAAGAGTATTTAGAGTTCTGTTCTGGATTTATCGGGCATATTTAAGAGATTTATTAGAGCTGATGATACGGAATTAAAGTAATATAGTCAGTCAAGTAACAAATGTATAAACCAATGTTTCTGCATTACTTTGAGACAGGAAGGGCCTGATTATTTAAATGTAAAATAGATGGAAACAGGCTTCAAAATATGTTTTATCTGTGACACATTCGGATTATTTCCCATGCTACCCGATATTGATCAATAACATCTAGGTAAAATATCGCTACACAACTGGTGAATAACCTGCCGTTAGTCAGTTTAACATCAGGAAGCATTTTCGCTCTCTGAAGCTTCTTGAGATTTATCGAGCTGGTTCATTTTATCTGGTTTGCTAAATATCATTTTGTGTTGTCTCCATAACAAGTGTTTTCTGATAATGTTTACTAAAGAAGCTCACATAGTAAATTCTGATGTTTTTGTATCTGCTTGTATACATGTCTGTGTAGTTGCAGTACCACGCTGGTCTGGCCTCCAGTTTATTAAATCAACAATCACTCAAACGATCGGCCAATCAAATGGGAGCTTCAGCCAAGAGACGACCCAAAGTCCAACCCAGTACTCTAGTACTGCCTCCTCAGTGAGTACTGCAGCGACTCGAGCACCTATTTAGTGTAAAGTACCCTGTTCCTCTGTGTACAGGTTGGTGAATGATGGCATCTACTATTCAGCGTAAAGTGCCCTTTTCCTCGCTGTACAGGTATGTGGATGATGTCATCTCTCGGATCGGCAGGATGTTTCCTGATATGACCATCGAGCTGTTCAGACCCAACGGAACGTCTGCTGTACTGCTGGTAATACACTATAGCCCGTGTGTGTTCACAGCAGGTAACGGGGGGGTGTTCTCTGGCTACTGTGTGTGTTCACAGCAGGTAACGGGGGGGGGTGTTGTCCCTCAGGTGACCCTGGGGAAGGTGTTGAAGGCGATCGTCGTAATGCGTTCGCTCTTCATTGACAGAACTATTGTACGAGGATTCAACGAAAATGTTTACAACGAGGACGGAAAGGTGGGAGGTTAAACAACCTGACCAGAAACCCCAAATATTGCTCTGTCTCCATATTCACCTGTCTGTGTCCCTCAGCTTGACATATGGACCAAGTCTCAGTACCAGGTGTTCCAAAAGGTAACATTTAGCCGTTATCCACTGAACTCTTGCAGACCTGAACTGACTGCAGCGCTCTGACTGGTTGTGTTGTTGCTAGGTAACCGACCACGCAACAACGGCCCTGCTTCACTACCAGCTGCCTCAGATGCCTGACGTGGTGGTCCGGTCCTTTATGGTATCACGCCAATCTGTCATTCTGTCTCAGTTTAGACTGCAGTATAAAGCCACATGAAACCTTACGTGTGTCTCCACCTCTCTGTGTCTCCGCCTCTCTGTGTCTCCGCCTCTCTGTGTCTCCGCCTCTCTGTGTCTCCGCCTCTTAGACCTGGCTGCGGAGCTACATTAAACTCTTCCAGTCTTCTTGTCAGCGCTGTGGTCGTTTCCTGCAGGACGGACTTCCTCCAACATGGAGAGACTTTAGGACACTGGAAGCGTTTCACGACACCTGTCGCATGTAAACAAAAACCTCCTGTTCATGTGTTTCAGAACTGCTTTTGTACAATAAAATGTGCTTATAATGTTATAACAGTTGTGTTTTTACAAAACAAAATTATAAACAGAGTAAATGTGGATATACTTTTCTATAGCTTGAGTATTATTTCCTTGTTATACAAACAAACTGCACTATATACACGATATAGATATAAAAACCGATTCAGTTGATTTGTACATACAACATTACATGTGAATGTGACAGTGCAGCTTTTAGATCGTAGGGAGAGTTGTTATAATTATTCAGGGTCAATTTCTGATCTTTAATGAGATACTGTAGAACTCGAGGGTGGTCTTTTCAAGGGGGGGAGAGAAATCTGAGCGACCGGCTGCATGGCAGCGAGGAAACGGACCACACAGAACAGATCATGAAGCAAAGAAGCGGCTTGACGCTGCCAGAGGGACGGAACCGGCTGGAGAACTTCGGACCGCCCTGGACTACGATGTGTTTTCCCTCCATCTTTGATCAGGAAAGATAAGTCCCCCCGGAAACACCTCTCCTGCCTTTTCCGGATCACCCAACACACACTTCCCACCCGCACACAGATGCCACATCTTCTACTTTTCCCACAAACCCCAAAGTGACAATTTTGGGACTCACATAAGACCTTCCTTAGGAGATGTTTCAGTTGATTAGTTTTGTCCCTAAACATGTGGTTATTTTGAATTATCGCTTTTATTGATCTGTGTTTTTTTTGTTCAAATACAGCCAGTTTTTTCCCCGGTTGCATTGGCGTTCTTGTTTGTAGTTGTGAGATTTGATTTATGTTACCTTTTGCAGTGGGGTTACCCGGCTGGTCGGGTTAATTGTTGAGCGGAAGATAACATGATAAATGTGACGGGGCGTAACGTAGATTATTTGCTTGTCTGGCACCCAACGTATCCAAACTACCCTGTAAACAGCTTTCAGGCTGAAGATGCTCTAAAGGAAAAGATCAACTGAGATGAATGTCGGGTCGCGTTCTGTCTGATATTTACAATTTCTTGGAGGAAAACGTCATCAGACTGTCAAACTAGTTTTACTTGGTCTCAACTGATCCTTATCCAGATCTTTACTAACACATTTACACACACTAACTGCATTTCTCTGTTGTATGAATTGATTATATTGTACGTGGGTTACACAGTTTGTTCATGACATACACATTCGTACACGTGACCTCCAGTGTAGTGTGTCCACCCAGTGTAGTGTGTCCACCCAGTGTAGTGTGTCCACCCAGTGTAGTGTGTCCATCCCGGGAGAGGAATGTCCCTTGTCTCTCACTAAGGTTTCTTGTGCCGATGTGACTTGGCGGTTGGTGCGTACAGTACGACAATGGACCACAAGACAACAGTGCAAGAGGAATAAAATAAAATATAAGGCTATGGGTTAGTTTAAAAATAAAGGAATAAAAGTTCAAGTTAAAAATGTTTAGAAATTAAAAATAAAGTGCACCAGCGAACAGAAAGTGAAAGTGACGTGTGCAGTGAGAAAGAAAGTGACCGGTGGGACGTCAGTCAGTCAGTGGGGGACCGACTGCCGACGGGAAGAAACTGTTGGTGTGGCGGAGGTCTTAAGCCTGGTTTATGCTTCTGCGTTTTCAGAGCGACGCAGACGCAAGACCCCTTCGTGTGTCCCCTGTGTGTCCCCTGCGTGTCCCTTTCGTGTCCCTTGCGTGTCTTTTCACGCCTCCTTGCGTGCGTCGACCCATTTTTGTAGACTAGCGTCTAAAGCTTTGCAGCGTCCTGCAGCAGCAGGCTGTGATTGGTCTCTGACTACGTCCTTTAGAGTCTCACGTCTCCGTTTTCACAGCACAATACGGCCGTTATTAAAAGGAAGAACGTTTACGAGAGAACGGATCAGATTGAAGAGCTTTTAAATATGAGCGCTTCTACAAGCCGTCATTGGCGGACTATGAGGACGCCGGACGGCCTCTGATTCATGGAGGGAGATCTCCACCAACGAGGGGAACAAAGTCGTGGAGGAAAATACGGGACAAATGTGTCCGTGATGGAAAGCAGCAGTGTGGATGCACGGGGCAATAAAGTCTATGATACATAAATAAAGCAACCAGCGACTTCCACACACAAAGACGTGACTCTCCAGGTCGTCTTCAACAAAACACGTGACTCCACCTGTTGTTCTGGAGGTGAATCGCTCTGCAACACACGCACGACTTTAAATATTTTTAACTTGAACTTTTATTCCTTGATTTTTAAACTAACCCATAGCCTTGTACTACTAACCCATAGCATTATAGCATTACATTTTATTTTATTCCTCGTGCACTGTTGTCTTGTCGTCCATTGTCGTACTATCTGCTGTTACGCACCAACCGCCAAGTCAAAGTCACATTCCTTGTATGTCTGACATATTATGGCATTAAATGTTACCTGATAATTTCATTAAAGTAAGGTTCCAGTGCGATGTCGATACCTAACCACTCACGTAGGCCCTTAGATTTACAGAAGCTCCTGCAGCAAAACCAGCAGCAGCGCTGATTTGATCCGGCAGATTTCTTTGGTTGTCTTGTCGTTGGTGGAATATACAAAGAAAGGATTTGGGTCAAACTTTCAAAGTAAATGTTGGCCAGTTGCCTGTTTTTCGATTCGGTTTTTGGTTTTTGGTTTTTCAATTCAACGGGAAAATGAATGATACACAGATTCAAAAAATGAAATCTTGTGAGCGCCGCTTGACTTTACAAGAAAACCGGTCCTTCACACACCGCCTTCAGGCTTACAAACATGCCCTCTGTACTGCCCAGTCCACCTACTACTCATCAACATCCGCTTTGGCTCCACCAACCGCAGGACTCTCTTCTCCACCATCAGCAAACTCCTCAAACTCAGCGACAACATCTCCACTTCCTTCACTTAACAAGTGCAAAGCTTTCCTGTCATATTTTCAAAACAAAATTTTGATCTGCTTTTAATGTGTAATTAATGCTGTGTTTTTATATGATGTCTTTGATTCATGTTTATTTTAATCATGTAAAGCATCTTTGCGTATTTTGAAAAGCGCTATATAAATAAAATGTATTATTATTATCATTCTAAATTATTTTATATTTTTATTCATTGATATACTGAATTGTTGTTGTTTGAATACGATTGTATTTATTATCTTAAACTGTTGGAATAAATGTTAAATATTTTACTATCTTAAACTGTTGGACTAAAAGTTAAATATTTAACTCCAAAGTAATAATGCGTTTTTGATACCCTATATACATATATATGTCTAAATGAAACGACGGGCGTGATGACGTCACTGCTGTAGAACACGTGAGGATGAGAGAACGATGCTATCTGCTAGAGACAATCTCCGGTAACTTTTTTATTATAATTATTGTAATCATTGTTACTGTTATTACATGTATTACGACAATACGGATTAATAATTGTATATCTAGACGTCAGTGCTTTGACAAACGAGCACAGCGGTGCTGCTACAGCGCATGCGCACTCTTCCCTTACACACAGCACCTTGTCACTGATGACAAAGGCTCCTCCCGGGAGAAGCGCTGCGCGTGACCGCACTCCGGTTTCGTGTGACGCTGCAGACCGATTCGAGGTGATAGCGACGGGATGCGCGTGGCGCGCTGATTGTTGGTACCGGACACCATGAGCTGTAATTGGGGCACCGAGCTGTGGGTACGTACGCCGGGGTTCCGTTCGGCCCGGTCAGTGTGGGGTTGTGTGCGTGTTGCGTGAGGCCCTCGTGCATCCGTCTGCTCTGCCATAGCAACACAGTGAGTGACGACAGCGGCTCGCGCTCCGTCACGATGGTGCTGATGTCCGAATTCCGATATCAGGATTATATGAATGAATATATGATCGTATGATCACTGGCTCCTATCGTACGTCAGCTATTTAAGATTAAATATTGAAAATGTTTTATGAAAAATTCAGTTGAAACTCCTCCACGTGTGGTTTGACGAGCATAATAATAATGCATTATCTATATTAATTAACTAAACTAATAACCCTTTATGCTTTGTAAAGAAATGCCAAAACCAAAAGCAGCAATAATTAATCATAAAACATCATTTAGGTAAAAACTTTTCACAAAAGTTCTTAATGAAAGAATAAATTTCCATTAGATGTTTCGTAAAAATATTAATAAGGCCTAAAAAACAGATTGTAGAAGCATTCAAAGGGATCCCTTATTAAAACAGTGTATTCATGCAATTATTCCAGATTTGCTTCTGTAGCTTTGTCTGAAAATACTTCTGTTGTCAATAATGTCACTGCGTCAGTTGTTATTGGATGTATATATTATATACAGTATATACATTACATCACATGTCATTTATCTGACGCTTTTATCCGACTTACAATAAGTGCATTTCAACCATAAGGACTCAAACTCAGAAAAGCAAGAAACAAGAAAGTGCAATTTCATTAAATAAGTCAATTTACAACTTGCTGTAGATAAGAACCATTATAAGTACAAGTGCTACAATTGGTCTTTTAGTCGAGGTAGAGTAGTATATACATACAGGGCGAAGGGGGAGAGAGGGTGCGCCGGGAAACGCAAGGTTGGTGGTTCAAGCCCCGACTGCTCCATGTCCCATGTCCAAGTGTCCCAGAGCAAGACACCTAATCTCTAATTGCTCCCCGGGTAAAAAAATGTAAAAAGCCATGGGTTAAAAAGGTAATGTAAATCACTTTGGATAAAAGCGTCTGCTAAATGTAATGTAATGTAATATATGAAGTAGTGCATTTTACATACATTAACATAACTTTAATTGACCATATTTATATTAGTGCTGGTCATTGTAATGCGCAAAATTCAATAATTAATTCATAATACACTTGTATTCATGCATTTTGAACAGCAGTATTCCCGATACACAGTAGCAGGTAAAATGATGATAAGTTGTAAAACGCGTCTTAAAGTGTGCATGCACAAAATGGGTTTTTCGCTTGTCATCCGTAATGAATGGCACTGCTTATTCTACCATTTCTTTTGTATTTGATTATGCATAACTGCTACATTTGTCATTGTACTGTCTAAACACATGTAATAACACACATCTTGCATATATACATCACAAGAATAAAGAGTAAAAATACAAATATAAGTAATAAATTAATTCCATGATTGTTCTGTTATTAACAAAGATTGTCATTACGCGCAAAATTCAATAATGAATAAAAAACTATAGTAAACACTAAACCGTCTATTGAACACCCTTATTTTATTGTAATGTTATCAGAACAATATAACCGGTACACTTGGAGCAACAGCAAGTTAACATAGTATATAAATGTGTTTTCTTTTGGTTTCTGGACATTTGTTCTTTATCCGGCAACAGCATAATGCAAGATGCAACATATGTTCAGTTGTCCTGGTTAGTGAGGGAAAGTGGTCTAGCACCAAACTACACAGCTGGAATTTACTGTGCAGGGGACGTTTTAGTCTGTAAAGCCTGTGGATTCCATTTGGAGAATCACATATAACGAAAGAAAGAAAAACACTTTCTAGGATGCAGGTTGACGAGTTACTCAATGATAAAATTAACTTTTAACACTCATCTTTTTTATTTTATCGACAGTTCTCCCGCACACCACAGCCCAAGTAGTCTTGTTTTGGCTCCACAGTTTTTTGGGGTAACTGGTTGGCTGCTTCAATGCTGTTGTACTTCATGCTTATGACACTCCTGTGATAAGCTCATTCCAGTTTGCAGTGGTTACAAATAGCTTTTATCCACTACGCCGTCTGGTACGAGTACAGGTATCAGTGTTTATGGAAATGGTTAACTGCAACTTTAAAGACTGATTTGTGTTTTCTGATTCAGGACCAGTTTGATAACCTGGAGAAACACACCAGTTGGGGAATTGACTTCCTTGAAAGATACAGCAAGTTTGTTAGAGAGAGGGCCGACATTGAGCTGAGTTACGCCAAACAGATCAGGTAACTCCCTCACCTGCACATAACCTGTACATGTATATATAGATAGTATCTGGATGTCTGTATAAGCCTACCCGTCTCTCCACCTGTCTTCTTCAATTGTCTCTTTACCTGTCTCTCCCTGCGTCTCTACCCATGTATCTCACCGTCTCTCTCCCTGTCTCCCTCTCTCTCTTTCCGGTTCCGGTGAGTAACATGAGAGGTGAGAGGTGTTGGTGCGAGTGGCGGAGTTTTTCAATCGGTTTTGAGTTTCTGAGAATAATCTAGTGTGCTGACCAGGTGAGTTTCCAAACTGACTGTTTTTGATCGATTGGAGGTTTGTTGAGGTGCCCTCGGAGGAATGGCGTCCTCCGAGATGCCACCTCTCTCTCTCCGGCAGGGAGTAAGGATTGTCCCGCCGGATAACGCGATCACTGTGGAGAAGGTGTTGCTGGCTGTCGGGGAGCAGGTAGGACACAAGAACCTTTCCTTCTCCAGGATGAACAGAGCTGTGGTTGTGTCCACTAGCTGATTGAGAGCGGCGTGTTCATCAGGGACGCGTTTGTGCAGGTGTCCCCACTGACAGCGGATCATCACGGATCATCGTGTCCAGTGTTCCCGCCGTTCATCCCAAATGAAGCGATAAGTAACGAGCTGCGGAGGTTTAGGTTTAAGGAATAAAAACGGTGAATCTGGGATTTAAAGATCCCAAGCTGAGACATGTCCAGTCTCTGAGGCGGCAGGTGTTCATGTTCCTGGACTCACCTGTTCAGAGCCTGGACGTCTCCTTCAGGGTGAAGCACGGCGACAGTGCCTACGTGGTGTACGCCAGCTCCAGGAATTTGACGGCGCGGCGGCTGTTGCCATTGACTCACAACTTGAGGACGAGGTGCAGAAGAACCAAGCAAAGGAGCAACAGGTTGCTGTTGCTGTAAAGACCATCCGCTCTCATTTTGAAGAGAACATGGGGCAAGAGGCTTCCACGAGCATGAAGGACCTCACTGCGGCTACAATTGAAGTGCAGGGGGTCTAAAATAGCCAGGTGTGTGGAGACGACATGGACTACAACATTAGATACTTTAAAAAAAAAAAGAAAGATATAAATTATTTTCTAGATGAAACCTTTAATAAAACAGCCAAAGTGAGTGACTACTTTGGGGATACAGATATTTATTAGATCTGTAGATATACATAAAAAACTGGGTTTGACCTTTTGGGCGAGAGGAAGTGTTTCCTTTTAAAAAAAACACATTACTAGTGTAAAATTGTTATAAGAACTAAGAAGTAAATATATGTCTTGCACAGTGTTTTCTTCTCTGTTTGTTACAGTTGAATCTGCCACTGCCATGCAAAGCCCAAAAATAGGGTCTTTGAACGTTAATGGTGGAAGAGATCGGAACAAAAGGGCTGTTTCACAGCCATGGCACCAACATTAGTGCAGGGGTAGCAGTGATGTTTAGAAAAGCAGTGGATGCAACCATCTTGTCCTTTACGGAGGTGGTGAAGGGTCAGCTGATTACTGTGAGGGCAGAGATAGAGAGTGCTATCTTCTGCCTTGTAAACATCTATGCACCACACCAGGGAGCAGAGCAGGTTGTTTTTTTCGCCACACTGGAAAATGAGTTGAAAAATCATAACCAAGAGCATTTGGTTACTGGTGGTGATTTCAACTGCACGTTAGATTTCACTATAGACCAGGTTGGTGAGGAACCACACCCACAATCTGCTCACAACCTTCGCAAAGTCATCATACAACTGGGCCTCGTAGACACATGGAGAAACAAAAATCCACACTCAAGGTAGTACACATGGGTGAGGGTCAGCAACAACAGGTTGAGGGCAGCCAGATAGGACAGAATATACATTTCACAAAGTCTCAGCTCCAGAATAGTCAACAGTACAATTAGTCCAGTAGGTTTCAGTGATCATCACATCGTCACTGCGGACCTGATTACTTCACCGGGTGAAAGGGTAAAGTCCAACTGGTGTTTCAATAATAACCTCCTGCAAGATATTGTTTTCTGCCAGAGCTTTGCATTTTTTTGGCAGGTTTGGCAAAGTAGGACAGTTGAATTTTGGCTCTCTGAAGCTGTGGTGGGAGGTGGTGAAAGCACAAATCTGTGTTTTTTGTCAACAGTACACCTCACACTCCACTGCTAGGGTAAAGGCAGCAGTCCAGGAGCTGAAGGCCAGCATCAGGACAATTGAGGAGGGGCTACACAGGGGTTCAAATCCTGTTACCGTGCAGCTGTGAAAAAGAAATAGGCTGGAGTTGCGCTCCTTCTTTCAGGAGAGGGTGAAGGGAGCTCTAGTCACGTCTCGTTTCCTACAGCTGAAAGACATGGACGCCCCGACTTCCTTCTTTTTCAATCTGGAGAGGTTGCTGATTTTTTCAAGCGCTTCCGGATTATCCTTGGTTCAGGATTCTTATTCAACCAGATTTGACCCTTGTTCGTCTGAATTGTTTCAGAACAGGATCTCCTCCTGTCTCCTGTCAGCGAGCGGTGCTTTCTCTGCTGCCAAAAAAAAGGAGACCGGGCATTACTGAAGAACTTGAGGCCAGTAGCTCTCCTCTGTACGGACTATGAGGTGCTATCCAGAGCCCTTGCAAACAAACTAAAGGTCATCCTGGACATGGTAGTAGATACTGACCAGACATATTGTGTACCAGGCAGAACCATTATGGCCCACATTTTCCTCACAAGATACATATTGGATTTGTGCAGGAACAACGATGTAAACCTGGGGATTGTGTCACTGGATCAGGAGAAAGCCTTTGAAGGGGTGGATCACTCATATTTGTTTTCTACACTTCGGGCTTTTAGTATTGGTGATGGTTTTCTAGCTTGGGTGGGTTTATAGTACAAAGGTGCTCAATGTTTGGTTAAGGCGGGGGTGGGGCTGAGTTGGCCAATCCCTGTGCAGCGCAGGATAAGACAGAATGTCCTATTTCAGGGCAATTTTATAGCCTAGTGATTAAACCTTTGCTGTGCAGGCTGAGAGGTCGACTCAGCGGTCTCTCGCTGCCGGGGTCCTCCAGTCTCGAAAGACCTCCTACTGTTTCTGCTTATGCAGACGATATATGTGTGTTTGTCTCCAACCAGGAGGACGTCCAGTGTGTTCAGGAAGCCTTACTGTTACATGAAAAGGACTCATCAGCACGGGTGAACTGGGCTAAGAGTGAAGCCTTGTTGGTGGGGCAGTGGAGGGATCGGGCAGCCCCCAGTCTGCCTGGTGGACTTGAGTGGGGGAAAGAGGGACTGAAAGTCTTGGGAGTTAGGGTTAGGGTTAAGGGCACAGAGGGTTTTCAGGGTGGGGGGGAGTGAAGGAGAGAGTGTGTGCTCGGTTATCTAAATGGAAATAGTTGCTACCCCAGTTGTCATATAGGGGAAGGGTTCTGGTTATCAATAATTTAGTTGCCTCGACTCATTGGGACAAACTCACTGCTCTTACGCCACGAGAGGCCTGATGGAGGACATCCATAGAGCTTTGGTAGACTTTTTCTGATCTGGCAGACATTGGGTCCGGGCGGCAGCCCTAAAGGAGGGCATGGACTTACTGACATCCAGTCAAGAATGGCCTCCTTTAGGCTTGGGACAGCTCAAAGGCTGCTCTACAGCTGTGGCCCTTGCTGGCTGGACATAGCTCGACTGCTGCTGAAGAGAGCTGAGAAGTTGGGCTAAGACAAACAGCTCTTCCTCCTGCAAAAGGGGAAAACCTTGACCCAACTGGATTGTCTTCTTTCTCTCTCTGCTCTGTACTGCAGGCATGGAACATTTTTAAGACTACACACACAAGATCTGAGGTTCCTGGAATGTGGCTGTTTGAGGAACCTCTGTTATTTAACAGCTTTTCAGACTCAGCCTGTGAGCTGGTCTCAGAGAGGCCGGCTGCACCAAACTAGGCCATCTGATAAGGATGACGGCAACATCGGTCGACACATTAAGGGATAGGAGCAACATCACCTCCATCAGGCTGATCAACAGAGTGCTGGACGAGGTCTGTGCCGCCCTGTCGACCAAACAAAGAGATTTCAGCATGACCAAAGCTCTGTGTGACCAGTGGAAAGTCAGCTGCTCCCATTGACAAACCTGCACCTGGCAAGTTTCAAGAGGCGGGTAAAAAAGCCATCTATCGCACACGTGTCAAGGTGGTGAACTTACGGTTATTGGCAGGGATAAAAGAGTCGAGGTGGACTGAGTTCTTTGGTCCAGAGGTTCCCCGAAAAGACAACTGGCGGTCTCTGTACAAAATGCCCGCTGAGAAGCAGAAAGCAGACCTCCAGTGGAGGGTGGTACATGGGGGCAATAGCTACAAACAGGTACAGAGGGCACCTTGATCCGGAACCGAGTAGTACCAGTAACCAGTAGTTCAGGTTAAAGACGGGCGGATGGTTGTTGTTTTGGGTGAGAGTTTAGCTTAGTTAGCTTAGTTGGGTTAGTTGGTTTCACTGCTTCTCTTCACCTGTCGGTGTCACTCTGTGTGCGCGCTGCATAAGCCACGCCCCCTTTCCACAAGCAACTTACATGTTGGTGACGTTCATTTAGATGTAAAATGAATATCGCAGCACCAACAATTGTTGCACGCGAGAGCGTGTGCGATATGTCATTTTATCGCATATTGCGACAGGCCTACATGCCGTCTTTCTATCTGTCTCTCTAGTCGTCTCTTTAGCTCACTCAGTTCCTCTGTCCTCCTGTCTGTCTGCAGGACTCTGTCCAAGAAGTATCATCCCAAAAGAAGCAGAGAGGATGAGAGCAGGTCAGCCAACCTCTTTCTTTTTTAATATTTTACATAATTTTGGCTCAGTGACTAAACTCACCTTGATTGACTATGGTTTCGGTCATGACTCAGAAGTCATGGATAGAAGAAACCGAAATTAGTTTCCTCCGTTGGGTGGCCGGGCTCAGCCTTAGAGACAGGGCAAAGAGCTTGGACATCAGTAAGGAACACTACCCGTTCGTGTCGAAAGGAGTCAGCTGAGATGATTCTGACATCTGACTAGGATGCCCCCAGGTCTCCTCATACTAGGGGTTTTTTCAGGCACCCCAGACTGGTAGAAGACACCGGGGAAAACCAAGGACACGCTGGAGGGATTTTATCTCCCAGCTGGCCTTGAAACACCTCAGGATCCCCCAGTATGAGCTGGAAAATGTTGTGGACGAGCTGGTTGACCGAGACCCCCAGTCTCGAGACCCCCAGTCTCGGTCAACCAGCTGGGTCTGCAGCCAACAAGACGCGATAAGAGGAGAAAAAGAGATGCATGAAGGGTTTAGAGTAACAATAACAAGAGGTGCATGTGGATGACGATTGGAGCGTTAAGGTGGGTGATTGGCTCCTGAAAGTATCATACATCTCTCATCGGTTGTTGTAGGTACACCTGGTGTTTGGCCTTTTCAGCAACTCTCCGTCAGCTGAATGAACTTGCGACTCAGAGGGAAGAACTTGCTGAGAACCTCAACACACAGATTGTGTGTGAGCTGACCCGATACACACAGGAAGTAAAAGCTGATAGGAAGACGGTGAGTAAACAAGCATACAAACACACACACCCATGAAACACAGAGAGAGGCAGATCAGTGACAATAGTACTCAAATGCGTGTGTTGGTCATCACATCCAAATTTATTTTAGCTTATGTTCTCAAGTTCAACCTCACAAGAAACGAGGGAGCAGGATCCAAGCCGAGGGCGACAGCGTCTTCCTGTGCTCAGCTGGCTTCATTAGTGTGAAGACAGCAGAACTTTACCAAGATATGTGTAGTGGAGATGATCATGTTTGTTAGATTGATCAGAGACAACCGGAGTGTCCGCTGGTGGGCGAAACTGCGCAGTGAGGAGTGAAAAATTGTAAACGTGATAAGGATCGCCCTTATCACGTTTACAATTTTTCACTCCTGAAGTCCCATTCACGGGTGTTCCTTCCTGCACCGTGATGCCCATTTCTGAACCACGTTTTGGATGAAGAAGCACTGATATTGAGACGTGCTTTCAGACATGAGAGGATGTTTGAGGACAGATCTGACCAGCCTGAAGCATCTCACCATCTCACAGATGTCTGTATGGCACTGCGCATCTTTACAAGCGGCATTTGTTTTTATATGCCAAAACTGTAAATAAGGCACTATTTCTGCCTTTTTTTGTGCCTTATGTCAGAAGTGTGTGTTTGGCACTGAGGTCCTTGGCACACAACTTTATTACCTTCCCTGGCCATAGAAGAATGGGATTTCCACAAGACAGTCCACATATTCCTCTATAAATGGGCAACTGTGTTTGATGTGCAGTACTGGAAAATGTACCATGTATGAAGAGGGCAGTTTCCGCAGGTGGAAGAGAGTCAGTAGCTGCCCCACCCTGAATTCCTCCCATCACAGGCATGCCTTGGTTTAAACAAGGGCTAACTCCTCACAGGTGGTGCTGGTGCCGGTGTATATTTACATTTTATCTTGACCTGTTGCCTGGATCTTTTTTGTCCAGTTTTGTTTGTTCTGCATGAATTACTTTTATACTAAGATATTTGACACAGCTTGTAGAGAACTTTCCTATAAGTAGATATTTTTAAATCCTTCCGCATTCAGTCGGTCCGCGATACTCTGCCAGGCTTTTTCTCTATTTAATTACAGCTGCCGGTTTTCCTTTTTTTGCCCTTTGAGGCGATTTTGGGCTCTACAAAATAAAATAGAAAATATATGATGATTGAACAGGTTCCTGATGATTTACCTTCGATCTGCTAAGCTCCACCATTTGCTAAGTTCTGTTTTTTAGAGCAGCCACCTTTTTTTAACTCGATGTTGATAGTTGGGAAATAAGTATTTCTTGGTCCCATGTTGATGGACTTAATGTCCAGAAGGGTTTGATCCCACTTCTTTGGTCACATGCTTCTGTGAGGATTTTGAAAAGTAACCTGTTCATGTACACAACCTGTACATCATCAAAATAATTTTTCAGTAGAGACTCACTGGACACTTTAAGCACTGAGTTGATTTATATTTTGTACTTGGTAAAAAAAAAACAACAGAAAGCATTCCAAGCTCGAGAGAAATCTTCTATTGTCAAAATGTTACAAAGTAAAAGAACTGATACGACACTAATATTTTATACTAAAAGCTGACAAACCACAAAGTAACAGGAGGAACTTACTTATTACCAGGAAAACAGCTATGGAGGCATTAAGGGGAATGGCAGGAAAATCCAGACTGGGGAATCCAGGCAGGGATTGGCAGACGGACTGGGGAACCGGGAGGATGGATGACTGCGAGAACAAAGACGGGGTCCGATGAAAAACAATAAAAAATTGGTCCATATCTCTGAAATAACTCTTTAACAAAGCAGTCAAGCTCAGTCACTACCAGGTTGGTTGAAAGAACGATCTGGCGACAAGTTGATGAAGATCCGGATTGAAGGCAGCCCGGTTGCATGAGCGAGTGACGTGAAATGTAATCATGGAGTCTGCATGAGCTCAGTTTAGGGCCATTCCCATACAGCTAGGAGGCATGGCCTCGTCGTGACAAAAAGTCCTGTTTTGAAAATATTATTTAAGTAGACGTACACAATATACTT